ATGAGAGTCGTAAATCGTTTGGTTATGGAATTGGGCCAATAATTCCTTTGTCTCGGATATAAAGTAGTGTTTGTAATAGAAAACAGATGATTTCTTACACAAAATTACAACATGAGTTGTTAGAAAATTGAGGTTAACTTCATTATTTTACCAGTAATAGAAACAAATAGCCTGGTTTTTATATCAACTTAAATAAATGTTATATTCTGTTGAAAGAAAATCGTTTTTTGGTCTAACATCATCAATCAATTGATACTGTTATTTTATAACTGTCATATATACAGATCATTTGTCATTCAAATTGAAATTATGTGTCCATATATTCTGCACTTTAAAGGTAGTGTATTGAGGAGAATATTTATTCTCTCAAGAATACTGGGAAAGTGAAGAATAGAGCGCATTAAAAAAATGAAACGGCACGCAATAATTTGCTAGACCTGTGAGAGAATGGCTGAATATATACGCAGGTATATTCACATTTGGTCATGTTTTTCAAGTTACAATCCGATAACCACTTACACGAACAAAATTCACCATTACATATGCATATATATTGAAGCTTGACGTTATTTGAATTGAAAGCAAGAAAGGCTGTGTAATCCAACGTTTCCCAAGAGTGAAATAAAACTTCCAGATAGTGCTGTTAAAAGATATTGTAAAGTGGTCCTCGATGAATTTTGATAAGGAAACGGTTTAAAGATAATACGATGTTTTCATTTCCGTTTGTCAGTTGCTCTATTGATTGTACTGCTATGAAAATTTTGCCTCAAAGCAGTTCGCTGTGGATTTCTATATGTATCTGTTATATCCGTGGTGTACAAGGCCTTGCACCGAGAAAACCATGCGACTAGAAAGTGGAGTCTTATGAGACAGAGCAGCTGGAAGTGCCCAAAGTTAGCTATTATCTACACCAACAAGAGTCTGAATTAACTGTTGTCTTCAGTTGAACCTCAGCCGTCATTGGGGTAAACCTAGACTCTGTAGCTGCACCTATATCAGAAAACGTGTAAGTGTATCGACCAATCATTTACACGTACAATCAAAGAATAGAGAAAAGTATGGGTATAAGTTGTGATATTAGTTGTCAATGTGAACTGTATTAACAGTGGATGCTATATACTGTATCATATACAATACATCTACATATTATAAATATACAAAATATAATACATTTGTATTTTCCCGAGCTTTACTGAAAGTCAGATTTGTTTAGATCACCTTTTAAAACTGATCCAATATCTTAGACTTCGACACTGTCATAACTTTTCGATCAAATTCCTTTTATGAGCCTTTCCAAAATACGTATTTGACAAATGGGAATATGAAAATTCAGCCATTTCTGAACCCCCAGTCTATAGGCTAATATTGGTTATTTTTCCCTGCAAGTAAAGTCAGTTAAAATGGAAAAACAATAAGTAAGTAAAATATAAAAGCGATAAAAGGGAGTTAAATAAACAAACAATTCATGAATAGTATAGTCATAATTGTTATAAGCCCACATGGAAATGTGGACGTATATTGCCGTCGCCCCTGTCCGCCCGTCCACATTTCTTGTATGCACGATAGAGGCTACAGTTTGTATTCGAGCTTGATGGAACTTGGTATTCATGTATATATTGATGAGATCTCGGTCAAGTTCGAAATTGATAACAATTGGATGAACTGTGTCGGAATTATTTCCCTTGACATAAGAAAAACGCGTCAAATCTAACTTATTTCCTTTGATTAGTAAAAACCCTTCAAATTTGGCTTGTAGGCATGATAGAGACTACAGTTTTTATTTGATATTGATGAAACTTGGTATGCATGATATATTGATGAGATCTCGGTCAAGATCGAAAATGGTAATAATCGAATGATCCGTTTTAGAGTTATTGCCCTTGACTTTGTAAAAACGTGTCAAATTTGGCTTTTAGGCACATTAGAGACTACAGTTTTTATGTGATCTTCATTAGACATTAGTAAGCATGTATGTATTTTGAAATCTCAATTATGTTCAAAATTTGTATCAATTGGATGATCTGTGTTGGAGTTATTGCCCTTGACTTAATAAAAACGCGACAAATTTGGCTTGTTAGCATGATATAGGTTACAGTTTTTACCCGATCTTCATGAAACTTGATATGCATGTATATATTGATGTTCGAAAAAAAGCCATTGCGATAAGATGGGAAAAAAATAACAGGGGAGGGGGGGGGGAGCTTCCAACAAAAGGGGGAAAGATGTTCTCTGATGTTTCTGCAATGAAACTTGTTATAGCATATTAACATGATGCGATTCAATTTATACTCACTCAAATTGGTCATAAGAGTTTTTATGAATTGCAATAAAGGTTTTAAACAAAATTGCGTGAACATCTTCCTGTTGAGTGTCCAATACCTAGTCAATTTCAAGATTTTATACATATACACAGTTGCGCTATTTTCTTGACCAATCATACCTTAGTCTCGTCTGAGAAACGGGATTTGTTTTAGCTAAGCCAATCAGTAATAGTGTTCATAATAAGTTTCTAGAGTCACTGCCATATATAGAAAAGACATCTATAGAAATAGGAAAAGGAATTATGCAATTTTCGTATATTTCTAGTACTTCTGAAGACTATTTACATATATTCAAGACTCAAATCAACCCCCCAAAATGGCGCATCTGTCTATTTATCTGTCTTTTGGTCTCTTCTTGAATATAACAACCAGATAGTATCTTCATTTCGAGTTGCTCGGCACTCTTTATGTATTTTTACCACTTTTGATATATTTTTATCCTCAAGAGGGCGATCACTGGATTGTAAAGCATGATCAATTTCCCCAGATAAAATGCTTTGTTCCTAGGATTGACTGATCAGGATTGATTCATTAATACCAATTATCGAGAAAAAAAAGAAGTAAAGTGAAACGGGTACGATTGGAAGTTAGATGTTGACGCTGAATGGTAATATCTGTTCTGTTTTGAAATTAGAAACTGTACTTTAAAAAGTATTCTCTTTCATGCTACTTAAATTCTCCGATTAAAACTATTTGAAGTCGTAGAAGGTTCAATGAAGTAATCAAAGATAAATATTATTCGAGTCTCGGGGATCAATTAGGATTTAAAGCCGCTGTGTAGAAGAATTTCTCAAAATACTATAGTACATGCAGGTTCGGAGATAACAGAAACAACATTGTAGCATCTTCAATTTGGTTGGTAAACTGACTCCTTTGATCCCAATGCATTTTATGGACGTGAATGACCTCCTTTTTCTACCTGGTTGTTGTTGAAATTTGTTTACTGAGTTTCCTATTCAACATTTTTACAAAATTTCACAAAATACACAGTCCACAAGAAATGCCGCAAACAATCTACTGATGTCTAGAGGTACATACTAACATGGCTTTAATTAATTTATATTCAAAGATTTATCTGTCTGTATGAAAAATGTGGAATTGTTTATATTTCACTCAGTTTAATCAAATAAAGACTATTCTAGAACAGTGTCCGACTGATGTTTTATCATTAGAATCTATGAAATAACAATTTTTATTCTTTTGGTTATACTTACATATAATAAGCACATGAAATTTGATAAATTGATAAATATGATATATTATGTTGACAGTATCTATTTAATACTGTTCAAAGCTATCGATTCCAAGAAGAATCTGATAACTGAAGAACTGATGACTTTTCTGTTGTAATTTATACATTTTGCCAGCAATTGTTAATGATATCATGAACCTATGCGGAATGTTAAACATTTAATGTTACAAAACACATATTCAGTGTAACACCAATACATTTGACAATGTATCATAAATATATACACTTAACATTCTAAGTCACATATACATTATACAGTGTGTACATTTACGAGTATAAAGCCCCGTCTACACGATCAAATATTTGAACAGATATACATTTAACAATGGGACAGATATACATTTAAACAATGTAAATGCAATGGTCTAATGAAGACGGGCAACACCATGCAGGGTGCAATGAGGAAAATTTGACAGGACAGCGGCATTAGCCTGCTCTTTTTCAATTTCCAACTGTCGAGGGATCTTTAACGTGCACAGCCTGTAGAACATGGGGCCTGGGTTTATTGTTCCATCCCCTCTTACCTGCATCACTGACAGGGGAAACCGGGTTGAAAAATCCGAAGGTATTATCTTGACCTTTGTCGGGATTGAACCCTGGACCTTCAGGTTAGTGAGCCAGCGCGGCTCCATTTAACAGTGTAACGGATATACATTTAATAGTGTAACATACATAAACAGTGCATTTAAATAGTGTAGCATACAAATCTTTTTAACAGCATGATATATGTATATTGTAACTGAGTTGCACATTCACTATTAACAATATTACTCGTTTATAGAAATATTAGACAGTATAAAACATACATTATATGACATAATTTTGTATTGTATTATCATTTCATCTTCTTACAGCCCAAACTATAGAAACTTCTGTCACTACTTTGTTTTAAAGATGGGTTCCCTTATTTTCATTTATGAAAATGAAAATACTAATTCTTATATGAATAGAAAGTAGTGGTGTTCTAATGGCTTGGATTGCAAGATGGTGTGATATAAGAAAATACTCCTGCATCTCTAAAACACCTAACGTTCAATAGTAGTGGTTTGGTGGATAAAAGGTTTCAAATCTTCCACACGAAGAGGTCCTAAAGTAGAATAAAACCTTCTAGAGCTAATGTAAACTGTCTATAATTAATTCATAATTAGCTAAATTAGAAAGAATTCCAATGAGTGACCGATCAAGAAAGGTCAAAAAGTCTTTTTTTGTTTATCCAGACTGTACATACATGGACATTTAAGATTGGTTAGAACTCTTAATTATATGCAATAAGAACATAATGACATGATTAAGAATACATGATTATTCATTAAAAACACCGATTAATCAAATAGTTTGTTTAATTTGAGACTAAAAAATAAAGAAACCCGCCTTTAATGTATGCTTTTTATATACATGTATTTATTTTTGACAATTGATAATTTCAGTTGATTGCAAATGGTGTGTTGTTTTTGTGTGTAAACGTTGCTGGTATATTAATACATAACTTAACTGAGAGGTCGCAGAGAAAAACGTTCATGGACACAAGAAATTGCATTGCTGCTAGACTGGAAATTGAAGATGAAAATGAAAAACTGGTCAGTATACATTTACGACGAAAATCTGTTTCTCACACCGCTTCTTTAACTTATAAGATACTGTCCAGAAAAGAAAACGATTTTAGAATTTTTTAATCAATTAAAACCACATCATCAAGTCTAAATCGAGACATTAGATAAAATTGATTATTGATGATCTACCTGTCTACCAATTTACAAAGTAGAATATACCAATTCTTACAGATAGAATTATAGATTCTCATTTTGAAAATGATTTCTTACAAATCAAAGTACCCTTTTTCTTACATCATTAAGGTGTGGTACAGTTTGGCGTAAAACTACATTTAATTTTTATACGCCCACATGAATATGTGGTCGTATATTGTCGTCGCCCCTGTCCGTCGCTCCGTCGCTCCGCCCGTCCAGATTTCTTGAGGGCACAATAGTTTTCATTTGATTGTGACATGAAACTTGGTGTGAGCATTGGGATTGATAAGATGGCGGTCAAGTTCTAATTTGACGTTTTTTCGATGAACGGTTTTTTGAGTTGTTGCCCTTGACTTAGTAAAATTGCGTCAAATTTTTTTTGTAGGCACTATAGAAGCTACAATTTTCAATTGATTTTTATAAAACTTGGTGTGAGCAATGGGACTGATAAGATGGCGGTCAAATGCGAATTTGACGATTGTTTTCGTAGGGACCTTATTTATAGAAGCACTTTTCAGTTCAACAAAAGCAGAATATCAGATATTAAAGTATCGATTTTACCTTTCTATTTTCATGGCATCGAATTCTAATCTCAAATGCTAGAATCATGTATATTCCACGATTTAGTTTGTAAATTAAGAAAAGACGATGGTAGAAAATGAACTTCTTCACGATCATATCTTTAGAATCCAATGTCTGGCCCGTCATTTTATCCAACATTAATTTAATAAAACTACTTTCAAACCTGAAGTATAAGTAGAATTGATTAATTACATTTGCTTTTATAAAATAGACATGCTTTATAATATTTGGTGGAAAGAATTTATGTGACCAACTCAGTTACGTCTTCAACTTAGTCAGATTTACATGTTGGAAACCTATGTCTGTCATGTAACCATTGTTAGAATCAATAATGGTAGACAACTGCAGTCCTTCTGACCTGTCAATGTTCTGAATAATCCTTGCAAAAACCCTTACAAGGTCAATGAATCATTAATCTCAGTTTTTTAATTGAAATAACTTGTCTTTTCATTTAAAACGGAAGCAATTCAGGCAGACCTAAAAAAAGATTATATTTTTATTTTAATTTTTCTAAATATATTTTGCACAACTCGAAATTGTGCTGCCCCCTCTACCTCCCCGTTGGCTTTTCAACTGGCTGCCTGAAAAACATTTTATTCCCGTCTGAAAATTTACTTTCCTTACCATTATTTAAACCTAAACAGTATTCAACAGTTAATCTACAGCCCTCAATGGAAAGCACATTGTCAACTTGATAAGAAAAAAGTAAAAAGCGTTTTCAAGAGCGTGCAAGAGCCGATTAAATGAAAATCTCTTCTTGAAAAGAAAACAATTGAATTCAAATACATTTGTCATTAACCAATCATATAGAAGAATGCTATTAAGTTATAACTCCAAGTTATAATTTACTGAAACAGAGCTATGATCTATAAACAATAACTGATAAGAAATAACATAAATCTTTTGTTATATAATATTAAAGTTATCTATTTATTTTGGTTTATATCAACACTGACTAAGTCTCACTGGCACTAACAATTTATCAAATAGATTAGATACTTCCTTAGATTTCATTCAATTTCTACAGCAAATTACATTGTATATCAGATTATGCTGCATTTGAAAGCAATTGGATTATTTTTTATACTTGCGTATTTGTCAATGCGTAAAGATAGTCCGTATCACATTTTGAGACTGTATTTCTTGCATTCTTATTGCATTCGGGTCCAGATTTGACAAGGTTCTTTTTGCATCATGTTTATCAGAAGCATGCTACAACGCATTCAATTACAAGAGTGTGACTAACAGGTTATCGCCAATGTCTTAAGACAAATAACCAGCCCTTCTGGGACAGTCGATGTGGATATCATTATTCATTATCTTAGTACAATCAATCTTGATGGCGAAACTTCTCAGAAACTAGTAGACAACAAGTATCAGTCACTGATATAGATTTTCTATTTAGACCAATCTAACAGACGAAAAATGAAAAATGATAGGCTAATTATAGCTGAAAAACTTATCTGATCAAAATTTGTTTGTTTATTATAATGTTGCTTTTTGTACGATGGCTGATTCAATACATTCAGACAAAACATGGTCAATTTACACTTTCTGTTTCAGGAAAAGTTGTTGTTAAGTGTCCTTCCTCAGCATGTTGCTATAGAGATGAAGAGGGATATGACCAACCCACATCATGGCCCCTTCCATAAAATATACATACAGAGACACGATAATGTCACGTAAGTAAATCGTAGGCTCTAAAGCCTGACTACAACAGTACAACACTTTGTAGGTAGTTTTTTCTATTCCCAGGAAAAATCTATTATATACCGGCCTTATAGAACACGGGTAAAGGCATTGGCAACAAGACTGTTGAACGTAATGAATGTGTACAATTCGAAAACGTTTTGTTACTGGAATGTTAATGAAGTTTCTGTGAGAATCAGGAAAAAGTTTTTGGAACTAATATTTAAACATGGAACTAAGGTTACGCCATGTTTGTGCTGAAAACAGATTAGCAATAAAACAAACTTATATTGTTGCATGTTGCCAGGAGTTTAATCAATAGAGATGGGAGGATATTTGATCTCGTAGTTATCATTTTCTTAATCAAAATGCTTCTTATTGGAAAAAACCGAGAAACTCAAAGCGTACCTAATCCCTTTAGCGGCTGTAAGAAATTCTCTAGTGATATTTTACTTCGTTTATTTCGCTTGAATTACTGACCGTCAATTGATTTTATCGACTTTTGTCCGCTGTCTTCATCTATATCTTGAAATAAACTTAACTGTCTATAAGAATTGTTCATTGTATATTATATAATACTTATAGACAGGCAATTGAACGGTGATAAGCAATTAAGTCAAACATTGACCACATAGACATACGTCTTTCATGGTGGTTTGGGGTTTAATGACAATCCAGTTTCATTGTTTAGTTGCAGAACAGATTAGTCCTGTAAATGAATCATAAGATTAACTTTCGTGTACTTTAGCGTTTCCTGAAGTACACTGCTTGTACTAATACCTGCCTGTACTTGGTCTACATGTTACTTTTTATATTGCAGGATACTGTTTGCTGATATTGTTGGATTTACTGTCCTAGCATCTCAGTGTACTGCACAGGAATTAGTTCGTATTTTAAATGAATTATTTGGGCGATTTGATCACCTTGCTAAGGTAATTTGTAACAATTGTAAATTTACTACTAAGTTCAAAACGAGATAACAAAATCCATGAGCAAACAAGCTCATTTGTACCCCAGAGTAATAACCTAATGTTGATCGTTTGAAAAAATTATTATATTACGTTTCTTGTTGAATTTTGTCTTAATTTTCGTCTGACATCATTAATAACAATAGCTTACGTTAACTTTTATTTCAGAACAATAATTGTTTACGTATTAAGATTCTAGGGGATTGTTACTACTGTGTCAGTGGCTTACCGGAACCACATTCTGACCATGCCAAATGTTGTGTTGAGATGGGTCTAGACATGATTGATGCCATAGCGTGAGTACCATTTTTTTTTTAAAATGTCTAGACAGGTATTTTTATTCAGATTTAGATAAGATAATTTTGATATGAAGTCACAGTTTCTTCCTTTTGTATTATGGATATTGTCATATTGTCATTTTCTACTGTTGGAATCCATTTTGATTTATGAGGTAAGGGACACCTATTATAAAGGATATGCCAAACTGGTCAAAGCACGATATCTAATGTAACTACCAGAGGCTAGATAGGAGTGAACCAATTCCGGTCCGACATAGTTGCTCGACCGATTTTACTTAAACAAAGGGAAACGACAGTCACTCCCTTTCAAGAATGTGATAAGTTGTCCGTTCAATAATTGACCAAAAAACAGCTTAATAGATCTTTTTAATTACTAAAAAATCTAAATTGGTAGAATTTAAACTATCTATATTGATCTATTGTATAAGAGATAAAGCCACTATATTGTCTACTTATAATGCGAAGACAAATTATACCATCTATTCCAAAAGGTTATGTAGGTATTATCATCGTTACCAAGTGGTCAAACAATTTTCATCAGCGTAGACATTACTATCTGTTACAGTTTCATAAACGTAATGTTCATAATACGATGATTGTCTGTCGTCTTGTCAGAGTCACGAAGCTCCATACTTTTATCCAAGCGAGTAAATTTTCTTGGTCTCGCCGATGTGACCTTACATTTATCACCATTTGTAGGACAATACCTTGTGACGAGATCACCTTTGGTCATTACATATATCTTTAGTTTTGCTTTACGACCTCTTTCCAAACTTATCTTCAGTTTGAGATTACTTTTACATCTTCGGTTTGAGATTGCATTTATCTTCAGTTTGCGATTGCATTTACATCTTCAGTTTGAGATTGTATTTATCTCCAGTTTGAGATTGTTTTTACATCTTCAGTTTGAGATTGCATTTATCTTCAGTTTGAGATTACTTTTACATCTTCGGTTTGAGATTACATTTACATCTTCAGTTTAAGGTCACATTTACATCTTAACTTTGAGATTGCATTTACATCTTCAGTTTAAGGTCACATTAACATCTTCAGTTTGAGGTCAGATTTATCTTCAGTTTGAGATTGCAGTTACATCTTCAGTTTGAGATCACATTTATCTTCAATTTAACATTGCATTTACATCTTCAGTTTGAGGTCACATTTACATCTTCAGTTTGAGGTCACATTTACATCTTCAGTTTGAGATCACATTTATCTTCAATTTAACATTGCATTTACATCTTCAGTTTGGGGTCACATTTACATCTTCAGTTTGAGGTCACATTTACATCTTCAGTTTGGGGTCACATTTACATCTTCAGTTTGAGGTCAGATTTATCTTAAGTTTGAGATTGCAGTTACATCTTCAGTTTGAGATCACATTTATCTTCAATTTAACATTGCATTTACATCTTCAGTTTGGGGTCACATTTACATCTTCAGTTTGAGGTCACATTTACATCTTCAGTTTGGGGTCACATTTACATCTTCAGTTTGAGGTCAGATTTATCTTCAGTTTGAAATTGCAGTTACATCTTCAGTTTGAGGTCACATTTACATCTTCAGTTTGATATTGCATTTACATCTTCAGTTTAAGGTCACGTTTACATCTTCAGTTTGAGGTCAGATTTATCTTCAGTTTGAGATTGCAGTTACATCTTCAGTTTGAGATCACATTTATCTTCAATTTTACATTGCATTTACATCTTCAGTTTGAGGTCACATTTACATCTTCAGTTTGAGGTCACATTTATCTTCAATGTAACATTGCATTTACATCTTCAGTTTGGGGTCACATTTATCTTCAGTTTGAGATTGCATTTACATCTTCAGTTTGAGGTCACATTTACATCTTCAGTTTGATATTGCATTTACATCTTCAGTTTAAGGTCATGTTTATATCTTCAGTTTGAGGTCAAATTTATCTTCAGTTTGAGATTGCAGTTACATCTTCAGTTTAAGGTCACGTTTACATCTTCAGTTTGATATTGCAGTTACATCTTCAGTTTGAGATCACATTTATCTTCAATTTTACATTGCATTTACATCTTCAGTTTGAGGTCACATTTACATCTTCAGTTTGAGGTCACATTTATGTTCAGTTTGAGGTCACATTTGTCTTCAGTTTGACAGAACATTTACATCTTCAGTTTGATGTCACTTTTATTTACAGTTTGACAGAACATTTACATCTTCAGTTAGAGGTCACATTTATCTTCAATTTAACATTGCATTTACATATTCAATTTGAGGTCTCATTTATCCATTGTTTGTTGGCTTTTATGTCCTTAATTTGACGCTGTGTATATCACAAACGTATTAGAGCATTACCCTTTCAGTTTGTCCTCACATGTATCTTCAGTTTTTCCGCAAATTTACTTGCGGATTGTCACCCCATTAAACCACAGTTTGGCGATGCGTCCATCATTAGTTTGTCCTCATTTTCATTCCCAAATTGTTGTCAGATGTTTCCGCGGTTATCACCACATTATCTTTAGATTGTCCTAACAAGTACCCACAGTTTGACTTCAGACTCATTCATAGTTTGACTTAAGACCGGTTGATACTCCGCTAAGCGTAGAAACCTTCGAAGCTCAGCTATGAAGCGAACTTAGCAAGTTCATTTTCAAGGGTGTGGTCCTACTTCTTAGCTTCGCTGTGGTCTTTTACAATCAATCAGAGACAAACGAAACAAACTAGCGTTTACAGATTTGTCTTGACATCGCGAAGCTAAGCGATGCGTAGCAAATCAAAGCTTTGCTTAGCTTCTTTATCTTCGCTTCGCTCTTTCGCTTAGGTTGTCGAGAACGATACAGACTTTCCTTCAAGAAAATCTCGAGAACTAAAATCCTGGACATAGTGGTTTGAATCAATTGTTCGTAATTAGAATTCCTATTGATCAATGATTGTCTAAAACAAACGTTGATAATTAATTAGTGAGGTCTTAACTGTCGTTTACCTATAATAGATAACACGCTACTGGTACACGCACTATTTTAAACCAAGGACTAACTGGTCTGTTCCCTTTGCTTCCTTTGGTATTTTGTATCTTTTTATCTCGTGAGAGACAGATAGATCCACTACCCACGTAAGATGTCACATTTCACCAGTCTGTAACGACATTTTTCTGACTATATCTTGACTTAAAATCAGCGCTGGTTGTCCTAATTCAGCTCGAACAACAGAATCCACAAAATTAAACTAAATTTTTCTCACACTCTTAGATATAAGTATTATATATAGCAATATGTTGTATTGGAGCCAAAATTTCATTACCGAATCACATTAAACAGATTCTACCATCGTAATCCAGATTTCGATAGGTGTACAGCACCCCGATTATTTGTTTAGAAAGCATTTTATATTTCCAAATTGCATGTGTAAGTTAAAAATAACTTTCTGAAAACAAAACTTGTCAATTTGGTGCTGTAACAATAAATTTCAAATCTGATATTTATGGCTTATTATTCTGATGTTTGAATGGTTTATTTGAATAAGGATGAAATGTTTTATTGTCCACAACGATTCTCAATTACTGAAACTTTTAACAAACATGGAACTCATTAATCTCAGTGTATTAAATATATTTATAGGCTAATATGAAGCTGGAATTATTGTTATAATAATAGTGCGTAGTTTTTCTAGATGTGTACTGTATATTCTTGTGACAATCTTCAGTGTAGCCTGAAGTGGGGCTCCACTCGTCGGACCGAAGCGAACACAACAGTGGTCAATTTTCAGTATCTGATCGGATTACTCTTTTTGACTGGAGAAATATGCTCTCGGTTATTATTAAAAAACACACTGATCATCCATTGTATATAATTAAATAGCCAAAATCCATGGATATATCCACCCCTTCCCTAAGTGCTACTCTTTACTGCTGCAGACCTGTACATTCGCAGCAATTTGTATGTAATCAAATGTCAATAAGAGGAGTTATAAATGAGAGATTGTGAAGGTAATATCAAATTAATCAAATTATTTCCAAACTATTTTGTTTGTATTTGCTGATATTAACTCGTCATTCAAATAGAAACTTAATATAACCTTATATCGACTTTACCGGAAATAATTCTTAAAGGGAAACGTTATTCTAATATAGTCTGGAGTCTATCTAATAGTCACGAGATATGAACATGAAAATTCACTATTATATGGAATAACATTGAAGATATTTTTATAATATTTTGATTAGCCATTGCATCTCATTCCAAAAATATGCAGCATATTGATCTAGATTAACTTTTCTATGAATTCTATGTTTTTCTGACCTAATGTTCACATTCGCCAGTTTTTCCCAAGAAATGCGAACAGAGCCCTCGACAATCTGCATCTGAGGCTTAACCTGTAATGTACTAGTAATCTAAAATATTTAACAGCTTCATTAAATAAAATTTGTTCTCCTTTATCCTCGTTTTACATTGATTTTGTGATCTGTAATGGTTATTTATTAAATTGAACATAATTTGATTCGCTTGAAATTGTCAGTTGGAAAATAATTGAAGGAGACGGTAAATACCAACTAGAAGAAATCTCTTACTCTATTGATTATAACAAGCCAGGTGTTTTCGCATTAGATACGTTTTGGAAATTCAACACTTGTTAGTATATTTGGTAGTACTGCAACCTTATGGGAGGTTAGAATACCCCAGCATAGAATAGATGCTGCCAGGAACATTGATGCTTACTTATATCTATGTTGTAAGAACTTCATTTAAAAGAAATGAGAAGCAATTACAGTTATGTTTGTTAACTTTCGTCGATTGTCGATTTGAAACCTGCTTCCAATTTTCAGTTCCCATTTATTGGTTTAATTTCCTTAAATAATGTATAAACGATTAATTGATGTGATATTCGGGAAAGATTAAAGAGGCTTATTAAGAGAGTTTACCGTCTCGGAAAGAGGGGTAATATAGATATGACTATAATGATCAGTTTATCCCTATGATGTATTATACTTTAATTATTATATATAGATGATATATGATTAAATACCACTATTATTAATCTCTAGCCTTATAGATTGACCTTCTTTCATGTCAAAGTTCATCATGTATCCGGGGATATTCCTGATTAAAAGCAATAGATTAATCATTGGTATGTCCTAGCAATATGACCTTGAGTGACCTTTGCTGATCAAAGGGTTATCTTTCTGTACAGGTCTCAGATCTCAAAACACTGAAGCTAAGCATTCCAAAAGTGCATAATATTAATATATCTTTAAATTAATGATAAATAATATTGTGCTCTACCCACAAAAACAAAAAAATCGGAGCACGTTTGTAATCGTGTGTAAAATGTTTTATTATGTTCTTGGCTAAACCATTATTGAAAAGGAGTTTTGATTTGGATTTTTATACGTCCACAAGAAAACGTGGTCGTATATTGCCGTCGCCCCTGTTCGTCGATCCGTTCGTCAACATTTGTTCTCAATGGATTTTGATGAAACTTGGTGTGAGTATTGGAATTAATTAGATCTCTGTCAAGTTAAAATTTTATGTTTTTCAATAAACTGTCTTTTAGTTATTACCCATAACTTAGTCAAAACGTGTAAAATGTGTTCGTGAGGATACTCATTAATGTGCAAGTGAGAATTTGGCGTCATGATAAATTGGAAAAGATTGCATTTGATTGTTTTTGAGTTATAGCCCTTGACTTTAAACATGTCAAATTTGTTCATGCACTCAATAGAGTCCATTTTTCATTCCATTTGAAACTTTGTGTGATAATTGGAATTGATAACAAAGATGTTGTGTGTTGCCTGGCAAGCTATCTTTGATCTAAAGGATGGTATCTTATTTCAGATCCGTGTGTGAATCTACAGATGTAAGATTGAACATGAGAGTTGGTCTGCATACAGGAGCTGTTCTCTGTGGTGTTCTAGGCCTGAAACGCTGGCAGTATGATGTGTGGTCACATGATGTAACACTAGCCAATCAGATGGAAGCTGGTGGATTGCCTGGGTTTGTTTGCAATTTTAATTCAACCCTCGAAACATCGTAATCTGCAAGTGAAAGAAATGTACAGCGCTGGCGAATCGGGGGTGTTCTTACACACTTTATTTTGGACATATAAGAATGTTTCAAAGGTCCGCTCTGGTATAAATCTGACACAATTCTAGAAGGTTATATCACTGATAATAAATCTGTATCTCGACACACCATTATTAGTTATGTACCCTTGATGACAGTCAATCGATGATCTGAGTTGAAGTTCGATTCCTAAATTAGATATTTCACAAAGAAATGATTTATTTCAGTATGGTCCATATTACTCAGACAACATTAGATCATTTACATGGGGAATATGAAGTCGAACCTGGTAATGGTGGTGATAGAAACACTTTTCTTAAACAACATACCATAGAGACCTTCTTTATTAAAGCTAAACATCCTAGAAGAGTAAGTATTGATGGAATATAATAAGATGCTTTGACCATTACGAACGGCTTCTTTCAAAAATTATCTTCATATCTCAAGATGGGTCGTGTGAAATTTTCAGATCCAGTCCTTTTTGTCTTGGATATTCTGTTTGGAACCAAAAATTAAATCTTGCGCTAAAATCTCTTCCTGTACTGAGAGAACTTTTTTTTTGCATTTCAGCATAGCTCCCTTTTATACAGAGACTGGGCAGGTTTACGACCAAAGAAATTATCTTTTAAAAATGTTTCAAATTGCGTAATGAGATTGATGCAAGCAGTGAAATTTAACGCAGAAATTCCATTTTCTAATGTTTTAACACCAACACAAGAAGAAAATAAATCGTCTAAATTAGTGAGTATTTTTCGGAGAATGTTCTGAATCTAAATACTTAAATTGGTTAATTGACCAAAAGTGCCTCTAGCCTCTGATGTTCATTTTGTGATTGTTTAGGTTATCATTAACTTTTAATTAGTATTCCACCATGTTATGTCTATGTGTCAAGAGGTTTGAATTTGTGAGATTTTTTTAGATCAATATAAGCAAAAATGAAATGAAAACAAAAATTATTTTGAAACATTTGACCTTTTGTTTTCCTTCTGTCTGATATTTAACTTGGTCTTGATTTCGAAATTTCCAGCGTGAGAAGCTTTATTAGATTATGGTTGACAGGACTTATTTATTTTACTCACGTTCTGATAAAGTAACAATTTTTAACCTCAATACAATTTTTTCTTTTACATCGTGATATGTGTGATTTTTTTCATCTTTGTTCTGACGTCAGGCATCCATTCTCTATGGAATAATAAAATACATTCGAATCTAATCGCTACAGTGACATTAAAAAACTTGAAAATGTGTAATCATCTGAAGTTTTGCAACAAGAAATTTATGATCATCATTTATAGTCGTAATTCTGTGTTCATGAATTACAAATAAATATATTTCCCGCTTTTGGATAGATTGATTTAAGCCCCGTTTATACGGCACGTTTACTTATGTAAGTAAATATACTTTAAATGACATTTTAAGGATATTTATTGTTTTGTAGAGCCGGCTTGCTTCAGTTACAGATAGATTACGGAAGCCTTTTAAAGAAAGGTAAGAATAAGTTATTTCAGTCATGTGTGTAGGATCTAAATCCTTAATTGAAGATCTTATTACAAGTTTACTGTTTAGTCACACACACACATATGAAACTGACTACATGGCTTCGGATAACGTCGTCGCGATAAAACCCAATCTCTTTGGTTATGTAGTAAGCACCTTTCTTTAAACTCATGTTGTCTTTTTATCTGAAATGTGATTTTCGTTATTATAGTTTAGTAGAATGATTATAACTCCGTATCTTTTAGTGTGTAGAGTAATCGATAACTTTAAAAAATATGATTTTATTATGAATGTCTGGGTAGCTTCAAATTTCCAGCCGTTTTCAATTTTTGATATAAACGCTTGAGATGTTTTATTTAAAACAATTTTTCGATAAGTTAGCTCCAATAAAAATTGTATTTACAGACATTCACAATTTCCACTACCAACGAATCGTGTTAATAAATATCTAGCTCAGGCTATTACAGCCCGTTATGTAGAACAAGAGAAATCCAACCATGTTAACTTCGTTACTCTCAGATTTAAAACTTCTTTAAAAGAACAGAGGGTAAGTTTAGGCCTATGCTCAGTTTGAATTTTAATTTAATTTGTGTGTAAACTCTTGGTATCTTATGGTGATCTTTTGATTTATCCAAAAAAGTATTAGTCCAACATTCGAAACTAGTGATCTCTTTTTGTACATCTTTTACCTCTCTGTTTGAAATATATTTTACATTACGTCCTGTTTTACCTACGCACCTTTTTAAAATGTTACATTTAATGGGTATTCTTGAAAAAGACAACGAGGATGATGTTAACTTGTCGTTTAATATGTTTTTGTATTTTTAGTACCAAGCAGCTGGTGATTTTGCCTTCAGTGGAAGTATGATTTGTGCCATGGTAATGTTAATTTGTATCGCTGGAATGCAGACAGTTATATTACCTAGGTAAATCTATCTCAGCCATGAAATTGTCGCTATTAAATGTCAAATCCCCAATTATAGATGCAGACTTAAATAGTGATTCTGATTCCACGAATTTGTTTACTAATATTTCACAATGTTTTACATATTTCATGCGTTTATCGAATTAAGTTTTCCAATATGACTGTGTATCCAAATACAACAAAATCACCTGCCAAAATCCAGGTATCAAATCCAGAAATGTGAAACTCAATTGACATCAGTCTTTGTTATACATCTTCAAAGAAATAATATCCAAATTAACACCAAGCAATCGAAAGACTTTCATCTAAAGTTCATACAAAATCTAAATGTTCCGCTACTCTTGTTGAAGATGACTCAAAGTTTTTATTTACTGATGATTTAAATTCTAGAACCCTGCTGTTATTGATGATGTTTCTTGCAACTTTTACCTGGATTTCCATAATACTCATATTGATTCTCAGTATTAATATAAAGGTACAGTAATTCTGTTTATAAAATAAAACATTTAAACATCGTAAAACCACACTGTGAAACCACGTGACGATGAAAAAGAATTGGTGTCTGTTGGCATTAGTATATGGAGCTTGTAAACATGACTTTATATGAATACACAATTTATTTTTTTCTGATTATATGATAACGAAATGTGGAAATAATTGAATATGGTTAATAATTCTCTTTCATTGACAAACATGTTAAGAATACAACAACTCTTATGTTCTGATTTCTATTGATTACAGTGTACCTTATTTGATATAAGAAGATCGTCATGTATAAGATTATTTGTTATGATGACAACTATTTTACTTATCTATGCAACAACTCAAATCAATGTCGTAAGTTTTTCATATATATATAGCAACAATGTTCTTCAATGAATAAATGATACTTCTTTCATGAATTTAAATATGAAAAATATTGAGATAGTCGAGTGTATGTTAACCGAGTTTTCATTATTTATGCGATATCTCATCCACATCTTGTCACTTAACTTAGTTTATTGCATTGAGACCTTATTCGATATACACTGTACATTCTTCTCCTCTCAATTGTATTTTATATTTCAGTTGTGTTGTAAGGGAGGCAATTTCATCAATGTGTTGGCTAATGTGACATTTACTACATCAAAATCAGACAATCATTTATCCTGTGATATACCTAATTATATTTATCTGAGTTGTATTATGGGTTATATATCAATCTCAATATTCCTCAAATTATCAGCTTTAATTAAACTATTCCTAATGATTTTAATGGCTAGTGGATATATAGTTCAGATGGTTTTCACACACGAAATGTTATTCTTGGTCTTTGATAAAAAGACAAAGTAAGTATTTTTAACACTTTTTTATTGCGTGGACTATAACACTAATTTATGAGACAAACCTAATGGGAAATGATATAATCCTCTATTCGTTTAATGTATTTGTAATGATAAGCAGTTTGTATCTTGATATTTCAATATATATTACAGCACCATAGTACCTAGTAATATAATTGGTATAGTGGTATTAATTATATTTACTATAACATTATATATACAAGGGAGGCAACAAGAATGGACATCGAGATTAGATTTCCTATGGAAGGTTCAAGTGAGTGTAAATCTGAAATATAGTCGGGATGTCATTAACATTGTAGTTGTATAGCATGGGAATTTGTGTCGTGGTTATTAAAACTATTTGTATTTTCAAAGCGCAATGATTCATTACTTTATGGTCTGCGTTTAGAATATAATCTTTAACATCGACGAACTTATAAATAACATATAAAAAAAAAATTGAACCTTGCATTTCCCAGTATTTGTTATGTTGTAGGCTACAGAAGAGAAAATTGAAATGACAGAATTACAAGTTAATAATAGAAATATTTTATGTAATATGTTGCCGTCTCATGTTGCTTCTCATTTTGTTGATAATCAACGTGGAAACTTCATGGTAAGAATATAAATCTCATAACATTTTTGATATAGTTTTTCTTGTTCTTGTAACCCTAGGAGAACACAACTTTGATGTAGATGCAGAACACAGGTAATCTGTTTCATGTAATTTTAAAACTTATCATAAGACAAAAACACTCTTGTGAAATGTTTATTTTACAGGACCTGTACAGTCAACAATACAGTAAAGTTGGTGTTTTCTTTGCTTCAATACCAAACTTCTCAGAATTTTACACAGAACTGGATGCCAATAACCAAGGAGTAGAATGTTTAAGAGTGTTAAATGAAATAATTGCAGATTTTGATGAGGTCAGTAGCAGTTATTATATGTAACAACCACGCCATCTCACGACCTCAGACTGTTTTCAGTTCAGATCTCTTGTCTTGAATGATTTCTGAAAAAAAATATCAATAATTCTTCTCTTACAGTTATTAAATGCACCGCGATTCAGGGCTATTGATAAAATAAAGACTATAGGAAGTTCGTATATGGCCGCTATTGGACTGATGCCCGAGTATTTGATTCAAGTAAGTAAACTAATATTCAAGTGAGCAATACTATCAATATCCAATGTTTCACTATAAATAGTGTTTATAAATGCACAGTCAATAAATAACAGTGTTCAAACATTAATTTCAACAATTCATCCACCATATTGTTGCTAAGTCGAGACATTTTGTGTCAACAGTGAAACTAAAGTTATGAAACTTTATTTTCAAATAATCGCATGTATATAATATTTCATTGACATTTTTATTACAGGACAATGATACCTCTGTTACTCACTCACTGGCACTACTGGTGGAATTCGCTTTTGGAATGAAAGACAAGCTGAGAATTATAAACGAGAATTCGTATAATCATTTCGTTATCAAAATAGGTGCGTAGTAGTTATTGAATTACAGGGGCATCAGTACAGAAATTTGTGTAAACAAAGAAGGTAAATTTGTATAAAGAATATACAAAAAATTGTATAAGCAAAGCAGGTAAATGCTTTTTATAGAGGAAACAGAAAACGGAACCATAACGTGATATGGTGACGTTTCAAACCTGTCAAAAACTGTAAGCCTTGTCGAAATGATAGGATAATAAGTGTCTAATTTCTTTCATTGGCCCACCAAATGTGGTTAATCTTATTGAATAGCCTCCATAAATCTTGTATTTCAGGCGTAAATTTAGGTCCAGTAGTAGCTGGTGTTATTGGTGCTAGAAAACCCCAGTATGATATCTGGGGTAATACTGTTAATGTGGCTAGTAGAATGGAGAGTACTGGTAAACCAGACCATATTCAGGTATTATAACTGGCGATGCTTTTATGATTGGTTGAAATTATGGAGGGAAGTACACTCCGTGTTACTGATATAACTAAAGAGAGACTTTAAGAAAAGATATCTGCTGTCCGATTTCTGTTTAAATATTGATCGTTTCTTACAGGTGACTGAAGAGGTATATGCAGCTTTAAAAGATATGTATGACTTCAAATGTCGAGGAAGAATAACTGTGAAAGGGAAAGGAGAGATGATAACATATTTCCTCGTTGGAAGAAGATCTGGAGGTATGTTTCAGGACAATCCGTCACCGCTTACACCAGATAGTCCACGCTTCCCTCGACCACCATCTCGAGAAGGGGCAATAATGATCAGGCAAGGAAGTGGAGGCAACCTACGAGAATTACAAAAGCAGGGTTCATTGACTTCACAAGGACGAATCCCTTCAAGTTATACTGTTTTGGGGATTGAACGTCAACCAAGTATAGATTCACAGCGAGGAAGCGGAGCCACCCCAACGAGCAGTCTAAACAAGAAACGTAAGAATGGTACTGACAGTCCAAAGGATCCAAATCGTAAACCACACAGGAAGTTAAGTAACTCCTCTGTAACAAACTGTCTTGCAGCTGATCAACCAACCACTCGAATTGACTCCCCCGAACTTCCAGCAGTTCACTATATGAACGTCAAGATGCAAAGTAACAAAAGTCCTGTTATTCAAAATTTTCTATTTGATGGATTAAAGTGCGTTGACTCCAAGAAAGGAGATAGTCCAGAAATGAAGCCACCAGTTCCCAAGATGACGAAAAGTAGTAGTGTCCCAGGGACAAAGATTCAAATCGCAACAGTTCAGCCTGTTCATCGAGTGCCACCTGAGGTGACTTCTAAACCCCCAGTATCTTCCAATCCATTACATTATGCTCGACCTACTCCCTTGGTATATGCTGGTATTGTTCAACCAATGAAACAACCATTAAAACCACCACCTGAAGAGATTAACGAAGAAGATTTTAAATCACAGATTAATGCTCAATCACAGAGAGATTACCCAATCAAAGATTATAATCAGATGTCAGACATGATGAAGGAACTGAATCAAATTGTTAACCCTGCTAACCCAAATAAACCTATGCTCAAACCGAAAGCAAGACCTTTATCACAAAACAAGTCTGGAGAGGAAAAGTTTGTTACTGGGATATATCGAGAGCCGATGGAACAGTCTCAATCAAATTCCCCAAGCCAGAGAAGCAGTGGTTCATCTGAGAAAGGAGAAACTGATAAAGTTCCAGTGAAGCAATCTCTCAAAACACTAAGTGAAAATAGGAGGAGTTCCTCGGGTTCAAAAGAAAGTGGTTCATCAGGTTCCACGTTGACGCCAACATCAGCTTTGGTAGCCAGCATAGATGGCAAAACTATGTCTCTCTTGCCATTCTTGGGCCCAGATCATGGATCAGTGGCTAATGGTGCACTGGAAGGAGAAACAGGGGTAATGGCCAAGTATATACCGCCAGCTCAACTTATACCAAATACAGCCCGCAGCAAAATACCAGTGCGGTCACCTTTGGGTTTAAAAAGAGAAATAATCCAAAATTCTGATAGTGATAAAGACTCTATCAGTTCGAAACCAGCTAGTGATCATTCCTCTATAGTAGTTTTACAGCCAATACATTTAAAGAACTCTAAACCAGCCAATATCCGTAACCTAAATCACCCAGATGTGAAATACGTTGAGTTGGATTACAAACCGTTAGGTGGCGTGACTTTAAATAGTCTGGAAAGACACTTAAGCAAATCAAATGAGGAAGTTAATAGTATACCTCGATGTCCGCCAACACCGAAATTTCCCCTACTTTCGGCGTCTTCCTCTTTGAACGACCTTGTCTATGATCTTAGTGATGACGTAGATTTAGATTTCACGCGGCAACCACTTGTTGGTCTTCCAGAGAAGAAATATTCTAGACGTGTTATTAATGGTAAAGGAAAATCTGAAAATGAATATGTAGACAAATCCAAGAAATCCTCGAAGAAAGACAATTTGCGTGAGAAAAAAGACTCTCGAAATCGTTTATCGGTTAATCCATATCAAATTAAACGTCGTCAGGCTCACACGATACCCCCGCGTCACTGTCGTAGTTTGGATCTCATCCCTGGCGATCGAGATGATTATGCATCGAATGCATCTTCCACTTGTGGCAGTCCAAGATCTAAGCATGCGTACCTAATGCCGTTAATTTTCGGTAAAACACCAATGACTGCTGAAAACACCAGTGTCTCATCATTGGCGAGTAGTAGTGAGATGTCTAATTGTGATGCTGCGGCCAATTGTGATTATAGTTCGGCTGCCTATGAATCAGAATATGATAATTATAGACCGGGCGTTATCAGTGATGATGATTATATTGTATCAGAAGGGGTCAGTGATGTAGATGTTGAAATCAATCTATTAGACGATATCAATATTGACAATGTAACTGTTAGTGATTGTTATAGTTTTGACATGGGCTTACCTGGTTATAGGAAAAAGACTACGGAAGTGTAGCTATAGATAATATATTACGCCATGCGACGTCTGAGTTCCCTATTCTTAAATGAATTAACGATTTCTAGCTATATTGAGAGTTTTGTAGAAACACCAATCTGTAGTTTTGAAATTGAATATATGATTGTTAATCAGGATCTATGTTTACAAAATGTTTTAATTATTAGGTTGTACTGTTTTTGAAGGGAGAAGAGTATTGATAAAAAAAAGTTATAGTGTAAGTGTAATCCATAATTGATTACGTAATAAAATATATACTGGTTTTGTTAAGTATATACAGTGGTGTAACCTATTTTCGTGGATATAAGAATTCAACACCGAATTTCGTCAAAGTTGAAAAAACGAAAAAAAATATTTTATGTCTTAGATGTTTCCTCAGATATTCTACAAAATAATAGAAATTGGTTTATTTCGATTTTCTTAATGAATCCTTTACTTTGACCCATATTTCATGAGCAACAAACTCGGGAACTGCGGCAGAATGCGTCACCTATTTTCGTGTACAATGTTTGATCTATAAATAAGTCTAGAAAAACACGTTGTATGGATACCGGGTGGTATAATTAACTTCTCTTAGTATTTATCTTTAATATCAATTCATTATAACCAATGACAATTCATTCAAAGAACCACGATTTACAAAAAAAAGTGACTGACAAAATATGATACGTAGCGTGATTTATTGCTAAAAGTCACTGAAACGACATAAGAATATGGTCCACTTTGTGTTCCATAGAAAGTTTCTGCTGACACGAAATCCGCTAGTTGATCACGTGACTTCATTCTTGGATAATATTCTAGCAGACGATACTTGGAATTCCGATTACCGCTCGGGATTATAATGAAATTCGGCCGATAAAAAATTGTGACGTTTGGTAATAAGTGAAATCCGCCATTTTGTATTTGTTAAAGTAAACATTAATACATTTTACCTTGCTTGAAATTACTAGATTCATTCTACTAGCTGATATTGTAGAGAAAACCCATTTTTATTAAAATAAACTAATGCGGAGGTCGCGCAAGGTCGCTCACGTAAATTATTAATCATTTCCGAAAATCGACGAATAATAGGTTTCCACGAAATTAGGTTACTTGACTGTACACTAATTGAATTGATATGATAGTTTGAAGTTTTGATTGAAAAGACATTATTATCAATTGTACGGGTATGATGAAGATAACCAGTTTAGCTATTCATGGTTACTCATTTACTACAGCACAAGCTGTGATGTTGCTTACGATATACAAGTGATAATTTTGTGTTCTATATTAAAAGAATTGACGATAGTTTCATTTATAAGTTTTTTTAACGTTACCTTTCAGCAATGTTGTGCTTGGAAAAGCCTCTGAAAAATGTTTCTTGTTATTGTTAACATATTTGCAAGATACTAGGTTAAGAAAGACTTCCATGATTAGAAATTACATTCTAAGAATAAAATGAAATAAACCTGTGATTAGGCCTATTACTTGCATGCTTGAATGACTTGCATGGTGATAAAATAAAGTCATCATTCTGTCTTCACTTTACTTGGTTATTTCAATATTTAGTTATTGACGTGTTATCTCAAATCGAAAAAGTGTTATGTGCCGTGTGTAAATGAAATAATTGACCTTTGAAATATTCAATATTCAGGATTGCCACACCTTATGTATATAAAGCATGCGTATATCACATTGGATCTTATTATCTGAAATGGTTTACAGAATAGCTTGTATTTACAAAACATCAAAAGACATTGTATATAAATTTTAATAAATGTAAATAGTTTCACGTTTTGCCTTATGTACGCTTTGTAAATAAACATTTAATTATTTCAAATGATTTTACATTCAGGGTAGCAGTGTAGCAATATTATAATTGTTGTTTAAATGAGTCTATATTGAGTGAGAGATGACACCCCTTAGTAATAAAGACAGCTTAAGGGTAGCATCATTTCAAGCTGCACCACTGAAAAGTGTTTGTTAAACTTTGCTGCTGAATATTTACATTAGCAAATCATTCCCCAATATCCAGATCAATAAGTCGGCCTTCAGAAACATCTTATCTAATCAATTCAACATGATATACGTAATTTCACCAAAGGCCACTTGATATACATGTAGGTTATGAGGTCCTACGTGTTACATATTTTTTTCATTTAACGAAACCTTGATGGGCACAAAAACGTAGGCCTATGATCCGTTGAAAGAAGGGTGCAGAAAATGCCTAAAGCTTTTTCTGAGAAATAGGAGAAACTCGATCCTATGGGATACGCAACAGATCCCGACAGTTGAAAGTAGGAAACAGTTGACACATCCGTTCTGGCAAAAGTAACATGGTCTATCTTCAATAGCCGGTGCAGATCGTGAGAATTTCAAGTCGGTTCAAGACAATTTGCTGTGATTACCAAATTGTAATAAGTACATGTAGATGTAAATCTTTATGACAAAAACATAAAAATCAAAGAAAAAGAAAAATTGTTATCATAGGTAAAAAATAAAAAATAGACCACATCACATCATATAGAAGTTTAAACGTATATTGATACATGATAATTGATTGTGTCGTCAATGGCAATCACCGATAGTATCCAATTCGAACTAACAAGGTTATTAAACTTGAGGGCAATTCATTTTTTCCAGTCCAGAACGTTTCGAGCTTTGTAAAATAGCCTGTTCAAAAATGAAATAGCTCTCAATCGGCTACAGATCACTTGGAAAACGTGTATTTAGTAAAAAGATGTGGTTTCATGAACACTGTCTGAAAGGTCAAAGTATAATTTCCAGATTAAAGGAACGATTTTACGATACGTCCGACCAATCGTACCTTAGTCTAAGAAACGGCATCTTTTTAAGCAAAGCTAATTAGTAATAGTTTTCACAGCCCTCCGTCGAGGGCCTTTGAGCCTTCAAATCACGGTGTGTCCAGAATTATCCACGTTTGAAAGTTAAAATGACGACTCGTCTTTTCTTGAGACTCCAACAGACATAGTAAAGACGTTTTAATATGTCTACATCGCTTTACAAATGATGTATTTGGCTTCATTGTGAAAATATTTTATCATTGTAGAAAAAAAATATACAGAAACAGAAAGTTAATTTCTAGTTGGGGGTACATTGTATATTTGAATGAAGTATGCGATTTTCATGCAGTTCTAGTTCTTCTAAAGATTATTTACATACATTCCATACCCGAAATCAATCCCAAAAATGGCGAACCATTTGAACTGTTTAATAATATTGGTACATGTATGCTGACAGTATTTCTAACCTGAAACGGTCACTATGCTGCTTGCTGATTTCTTGGAATATCGAAATTAGTTTCTAATTTTATTTCCCTATAACATTCCCGAAATAGCATTTCGATTCGAAACGTAGACTATTATTATTTTTGTAATAAAAAATAAACTATGCAATACATTTACAAATCTGATATCATTTTTTTCTCGTACGTGGTTGGGGAATTTTTAGAAGTACGAGAAAAGATGAGACGAAGTCATAATATTTGTTTAGTGACCAGTAAAATATTTGTGTTTACTCATTCGCTAACTGCAGTCGTATTGTTGAATTTTGTGACAATTCATGATATTATTTGCTAGGTTATGTCGTTCAAAATTACTCCTTTAATTACAACACAAACACGTCTTCTGGCCTAACAATAATTGAAACGAGCTGTGTTTCATTGAAAAGATTTAAGTTAATAAAGGCGGAAGGCTTTAAACAATGGTCAGTGAGAGAAAATAGACTTGTAACTGATGTTTTACATAAACTTTAGAAAAAAATAAAAGACATTCAGAAAAACAGTTTGAAAGATGTCCCTGACTATTCTTTAAAGATTTCGACTAATCTGTGTTGGCTTGTATAGACTGAGAACAATAGACAAAAATTAAATTCATTACATTTTTCACTATGTCATATACCAAGTTAATGATATTGAAACCTTAACTAAATATCAACTTTCTACAATTAATTTCTGAGATTTACCTTGCATATGCGATTTAAAACAGTTCTTGACTGAAGCGATATTTGAAATAAATGTCGAGATTCCGAAAGGAATATGTGATTATAGTCGAGAGTTAATGGGTTACACCAGGAGGGCATGTCCCGTGTTTCTGACTGTAGGAGTTAAAACAATAGCTGGACACTCGACTCATACTTTAAGATGAAATTTAGGATTTAAGAAATAGAAGTATTTTTTGGTAAGTGCAGATTTACATTTCAATTCTGATTTATTTAGTAATATGATATATGAAGTTTTGTATATACTAAACCGAAGTATATTGGAAGCTAGCGGTATTTATAGATAAATGCCATTTTATTTTGTATTCATTATGACTATTAATTAGTTCGACTCTAAGAAAGCACCAACTTCTGTTTTCTTGAATTTCCATTGTCATAAAACCATTCAGTGACGGTTTGAAATTGTATCTAGAACAAATTTTCCACTGGTCACCTTCTGCTAAACAATGGAATAGTAATATTTTGTATATACAATGCTGACTGGCAATCAATGATATGAAAGAATATCAATGATATGAAAGAATATCAATGATATCAAATAATATCAATGATATGAAACAATATTATATATCAAAGAATATCAATGATATTGGGGGGGAGTGGTCATTAAGACTTAAAATAATTCGACTAATCCTAATAGTATTTTATTTTTTCCCTTACTATATCCATAGAATGGGTTATTTGTTCACAAGACTGCATCTCGAAAGTTAAGAAAGTCAAATATCCAAAGGAATGAAAGGTTAAATTTATTTTAGCGATTATAAAAAGTGTTTTGTAATGGTGAGTCCGAAGTCCGAATATTACTTTTCAATACGTAATGTTAAGTAAATAAACAACTAAGCTATTGGGGGATGAAACGTGTAAGAATGACTCCTACATCATTACATAATATTTTGGTGGAGTAGAGGTGAAGTGAAATGCGCCCTGTCACGATAGTTCAATCAATTATTTCTAATCTATGAAAGTATATGAGCATGAGGTTATCACCACTAAAAACATCTTTATCATTTAAAGGATTCCATTATTGAAATAACACCCATTTTAACTTATATATTACAAGAGCTGATGTTCGTGACTCTTTGTGGATTGAACACACCACTTCTGTGATTTTTCCAAATTCTTGTAACACAAGCTTGTTTCTGTGTATTACTGGACATAATTTAACTTGATGATGAAGCTGTCTTCATGATGATCAAAAACCTAATGGAAGCATATGAGCATTATTTGGAACTTTTCTTGTAACATAATAAGGCAGTCCCGTAGCCAAGGGCGGACGAAAAATAGGGTTGCGTAATGCGTAATGCGTAATGCGAAATGGTTCAACAAAATACTATAAGTATTCCTATCTGTAAGCCTACTTAAAGTGATACTACGTCTTAGAATGAAAATAAAATTTAAGTTCTCGAAATGGTCAGTATGAGTATATATTCATCAGTGAACTTACCTGGTGTCATAAAGTTACAACAGAATCCCTGTAAAATCTGTAAAATTGGAAAATTCATAAAACTAAGTAACTATTGAAAAACGCTTAATCATGATATTAAGCGTTTTTCAATAGCTAATTGCATATCAATTACTAAGTTTTTTTGGATTGATCGGATAATATAAGGATCCTGTTCTGTTCTGTTCTGTTCTGTGTTCTGTTCTGTTCTCAAAATTCAAAAGATTTGATTGGTTGATTATAAATACTAACCAATAGACATATATTATCCTAAATTGTATTCATATTAATCAAACGATCCAAAGCAGGAAAAATGGATAAATATTTGATTAAAAAATTGCTTGATGGCTCGACACTACTACGACTTGCACTCTGTGAAAGCAGCTTTTCAACATTTACTAGCGTTGACTCACCACAACGACAATCTATGACTCAGCTTTGCCAGCGCAATCTTGTTCTTCTTGTCTTCAACAGGAAGCGTACCCAGAAAATTAACTTGGACGTATTTGTTCAACGTTTTGCCATAAAACATACCCGACTAAAACGGCAATAAAAATGTAACGTATTATAATTTGTGTGTTTTAACAAAAATAATCTCGAATCTAAAATACTCCGTGAAAGTCCGGTTCCCGACATCGTCTGTCAAGGTGCTTTGCTAAATTGCCCCCCTCGATTGCACGTTTGCCCCCCAAGGAATACTGGTCAGGCTACGGGCCTGTAATAAGGTGCCATTTTTCAAACGGGATAGCCTGAAGTATTCATAATGTAACATAATGTGCTAGTCATGAATAACCACATTAAGATCTTTGTTATATTCAAGAACTATTTTCAATCTAAAAAAAGTAGAGGGAATCATATTGTAGTGCACAAGCAAATGAAATATTACAGGAAAGGTGGCCTTTATAATATAAAATATACATTGATTTCAGATATAGAGGTGGAGAAAATAATGATGAACTCTATTTATGAAACGTAATCTAATGGATAGACATACATTTAAAGGTAAGATCAGGTGGTTTGCTTATCGGTGTCTTGAATCCTACTCATACGTTATAAAAACATTCCGTTTTTTTTTATTGCAGCCTGCATCAGAAAAACGTGCTTTTCAATTAGCGAATATCAAGTCTCAAATTACCTGACGGTATGGCGGAGACGCTCCTCCTTCGGCGGAGGATTCAAGACACCGTGAAGAGAACACTTTCGATCATTACTCCTTACCAAAATACCGATTTTTACAATCCCCAAGATCAATAATCAACATCTGATTCCATAATATTTCAATTTGCGCTAAAACCAAATGCTACTTCAAATTGTTATATTCAGAATAAGTGGTATAATTACAATCATTCAAATTTCAAACAGATAAACAAGATTAGTTTGACAGCAGATGTTCCGGAACAATGAGATTGCCCTGCCTCGCTAGCCACACCATGCTTTTCTTAGTGTGATCTGAAATTAAATCAACTTTTTGGTCTTGAATTCAAGGGCTCAAACAGAGATTATATACATATTCTATCTGGCTATCTTGTAGCTTCTGCACGTAATGGTATTCGACGAATTCAAAGTAAAATCAACGACACAAAGAAATCTATCAAGAGAAAAGAAACCTGCCTTCAAAAGTTTAAATCATGTCGCTGGATAATCGGATATTTGTGTTGTGCAGCAACTTTCAGCCAATCAGCGATCAGACAACTTATTGGTATGGCAACTGTTTGTATGACACTAAACAATGACCAGAACCTAAATGTTAGCAACACATCAAAATGCAACAACACAATTACGAACCAGGTGATTTTTATAGCTCTATAATTCAAATAAGTAACTGGTTTAGTTCCAAAGACCTTTTAAAACCAATTGATATATCTTACAACCCTTTGTTCGTTATAAAAACATTCCGTTTTTTTTATTGCAGCCTGCATCAGAAAAACGTGCTTTTCAATTAGCGAATATCAAGTCTCAAATTACCTGACGGTATGGCGGAGACGCTCCTCCTTCGGCGGAGGATTCAAGACACCGTGAAGAGAACACTTTCGATCATTACTCCTTACCAAAATACCGATTTTTACAATCCCCATGATCATTATTAATGATTCATTATTAATACACGATTGCAAAAAAAAGTTAGGAAGCAATATACGCACAAATATCCAATGATTCGCACCCACTGCTTCCACAGTCCAATGGTTAAGAACCTTTTACGTTTATCAGACCATGTTTGAAACCCATCATAGAACCAATTCGGCAATTTTTGGAACCTGTAGGCCTCTAGTTTAACGCAACAATATTTGTAACCAGTCAGTTTGCTAACGATAATGAATGCAAATTATGATCCCCGGAAAGAATGTTTTGAAGCGAATTCTGTCGAATTGACTAAAAAATATTTGTTATATTCTTAGTTCCAATATTATTTACCACATGCAAGCGAAGGTTATTGTTTGTTATTCACAAACCGCAAATTGAATTGTGTGGACAGGTTGGTACTTGTGGTATTATAACAATATAAAATATTTGTTCGATTGCCATTTCAGACAGTTGGAGAATTTTCCTGGTCTACAGAATTTGAAGGAACTGTGCTAGCCGCTTTTAACTTTGGATTCATTGCTTCACCTATACTTGGTGGATATGTTGCAGGTTATTTTGGTGGAAAGAGAGTTATTGGAATATCCCTGGCAGTCGGTGCCGTGGCAACCATTTTGACCCCTATATCCGTCAGAGCTAACAGAGTATTATTGGTGTTCATGAGGGTTATGACTGGTTTAGTCATGGTAGGTATCGGGCAATATTTTGTTAATAGAAATATAAAATTGACCAGACCATGGACAGAAGCTTGGCATAAGATGCCATAGCATAACAAGGTGGAAATATCATTTTTGTTTGTGATAGGTACGTTGAATCTGTTACATTTTCTCAGTCTCACAATTGTCATGGACAGCTATATTACAATTGTTTCCATTTTTAGGGAGCAGTTGATCCTTCAATACAACATCTGTGGTCAAAATGGGCGCCATGTTATGAAAAGAGTCAATTGACAGCCTGTTCATTTTCTGGTAAGACACCATTACAGTAACCTCATTTACCTGTGACTGTAACTGCTAAATCTGGAATTTTAAGCACTCACTCTTCTGACTTTCATGGCAACAAATAGTCGAACTAACTACCGTAGTGTAACTGTACTATTCGTAATGATAGTTTTCTGTGATAATCGTTCAGTTATACGTGGAGAAGAAAACAATAACTATTGAACTATTTTAAAATAATGAACAGTGGCGTTTCTCTGGAGGTGTGACCACTGCTCGACCTTCTCATTAATGTATCCTAGTAACGCCACTGACAATAAATAATGCTGATTAATGCTGTTTGACCCTTTAATATTTTTTGATTAATATTTAATATTGAAACTAACATAGGTATGTTTTCAATGAAATTATGTTTGAATCTTGTCAGAATGTATTTCAGTATTTCTACCGTGCGTTAGTACGCGTTTTAACAACAAGCTTGCTTTATTTTAGGTCTAAGTATTGCTGGCATCACAACATTTCTGGTATCAGGATACCTGTGTACTATTCAAGTTGATCATGGGTGGCCTTTCATTTTCTATGTCTTTGGTAAGTACATTCATTATTTTGAAAGGGTTTCTTTCATCAGCTATTATTAGTGAATTTGAATTTCATTATTAACAGAATTTAAAACATTGTTTGATATAAAAACAGGCGTGTTGATTCCCGAAATATCTCATTATTTATTATCAAGCTTGCAAACAAACGACACATCGAAGTATTTTTGACGATTGAAAGGCAGTGGCGTCACACCGCCCCCAGTTTTACTAAACTTGTCGGTAGAACGCGGAATTGGTCGGCAAAAGACGGTAATAACTGGAGCCGGTATTGATGTTATCGGTAAAAGACGGTAATAACTGGAGCCGGTATTGATGTTATCGGTATAAGACGGTAATAACTGGAGCCGGTATTGATGTTATCGGTAAAAGACGGTAATAACTGGAGCCGGTATTGATGTTATCGGTAAAAGACGGTAATAACTGGAGCTGGTATTGATGTTATCGGTAAAAGACGGTAATAACTGGAGCCGGTATTGATGTTATCGGTAAACTGTTCGTCTACATTAAAAGTGATTGTCGGTAAAAATGTTTCAGTTGTACCAAGCAACACGTGCAACATTTCCCAATGACTTGAGAGATCCCAATGCAGATCAGTTTAGCGGTAACATTTTTACCGACACAAAGTTTTCACTCTTTCGGTTTACCAATCGATTTTACCGATAGCTCCAGCCTCTAGCGTATTTTATTGAACGACAGCTTCAGATCCTTTAAGTCATTGGGAACTTTTGCACTCAACTAGTCGACTTGTGGCTAGTTACATCTGAAGCAGCTTTACCTACAATAACTTTTAATGTAAACTAACAGGTAACAGATAACATCATAACCTACAAAGGAACAGGGTTTTCATGTTTTCAGTTAACCAGTCGGTTCCAGCCGTTACCGTCTTTACCTTGTGTCGATTTGGATGTTTTGGGCGAACGAGTTTGTTTCAGTTGTACCAAGTCGACAAGTCGTGTGCAAGATTTCCAATGCTATGAAGGATCCAGATGCAATGTTGGCAGACATCGAAATGATGGGAAATGACCTTAGAAAGAGTGGTGCAAGAATTTGTGAAATACTGCTCAGTGTCTCTTCGGAAAGCAACGTTTTCAATAAAAGCCTTGCTAAAGCTTACCAATTAGCGTTGACCATTCCAGTGACACAGGCAATGAACGTGTTCATGTAGAAATAATTATTACAAATAATCATTAAAAACATCTAAAGAATTAATCTACAACAATGGATTTTTTCTCTGAAGGAACCCCCAGTCAAAATGCCCCTACTGAAAGGTGTTATGCGCACCGTTTTTACGCCAACTCTCCTGATTTCAGTAATTAAGCTGAATTCTGCACATGAAAATGTGAACGTATATTACCGTTGGCCCTGTCTGTCGGTCGGTCGTCGGTCGGTCGTCCGTCTGCATTGATCTGTATATATTGATGAGTTCTCAGTCAAGTTCGAAATTGGAAACAATCGGATGAACGATTTCGGAGTTTGTGCCCTTGATTTATTTATGTATTGATGAGATCTCAGTCAAGTTCGAAATTGGAAACAATCGGATGAACGATTACGGAGTTGGTGCCCTTGATTTATCTATGTATTGATGAGATCTCAGTCAAGTTCGAAATTGGAAACAATCGGATGAACGATTTCGGAGTTGGTGCCCTTGATTTAGTAAAAACACACGATAGAGGGTATAGTCTTTATCCGATCTTGATGAAACTTGGTATGTATATATTGATGAGATCTCGGTCAAGTTCGAAATTGGTGATAATCGGATGAATGGTTTAAGAGTTATTGTGTGTTCATGGTTTAATTTAAAAATTTGATGAACTGTTTGTGAGGTTTTGCCTTGACTTATAAATATTGTTAATATTATTTGATTCATTATGGAGCTACTAAAAACTTTATTATCATTACTGACAGTTAGTAGTGGGCGTATGTTACCTTGCCTGGCAAGCTATCTTTTAATTACCTGTTGGGTGGATGATATTTTATACCATTTGCAAAAATGCATACTGAGACGAAATAATGCGTATTTCTAGTTAGCTATAAAGAGGGTCATGAGTTATCATCTATATAAAAATTTACAAACATCAAATAGTTATTACTCTGAATATTTACTTTAGACAATAATAATTAGTATAGCATGTACATAATAAAACAAGACACAGTAGTAATATATGGAGAGGGATCGTTGCCATAAGGATTTACAAAGTTAAACTTGAAAACAAGGCCTAGACTTTACAACGTCATATTTCAACATTACACAATTACAAAATAAACCTTCCTAAAGTCAAAAAGTCAATGTACGTATCGCAAAGTAGAGATATTGATAGTTTACTTTTCAAACTTTATTTTACATCAGACACCATTCAAACTTTCCTTTACGAAAATGAATTCTTAACTTTGCAATTTTACATTATCAACTATGTCTTCTTGACTTTGCTGAAAGACTTTGTGAAAAATTACTGATTTGTAAACCAACAAATATTACTGATTTTTGAGCCAACGAATATTGATTTTAAAGCGAACGAATATTACTGATTTGTACAGTTAGTGAATATAACTGATTTGTGCAGCCAGTAAACATTTCTTTTTTTTTTTACAGTAAGTGAATATTAAAAAAATGATTTGATATTTCTGATTTTACAACCAGTAGATGTAAACTGCCTCGTTCAACCTGTAAATGTAACTGATTTTTACAACCAGTGAACACTTCTTATTGGTACAACCAGTGAATATTATTGATTTGTACAGTCGGTAAATATTACTTATTGGTACAGTCAGCGAATATTACTGATTGGTACAGTAGGTAAATATTACTGATTTGTACAGTCGGTAAATATAACTGATTGGTACAGTCGGTAAATTTTATTTATGGTACAATAAATAAAAACTTGGTATAGTCAGTAAATATTACTAATTGTATAGTCAGTGAATATCACTTATTGGTACATCCAGTAAATATTACTATCGTTAGGCCAAGAGTCAGTAAATATTACTTATTTGTAAAGCCAGTGAATAATACCGATGTTTACAGTCAGTGGATATTACTGAAATTCTTTACAAATATGATCATCATAGTTATTGAGAGGTTAAAAAACCCAGAAACACAACTGATGCCAAAATGGTTCCCATCAGAGACATTATAAAAAACAAAGAATCCAATGCGACAGCTACATCTACCCAGGTGATAGACCCACTACCGTCGTTTTTGTCTTCATTAATATTACTTTCACTAGGAGTGACTGCTGCTGCCTTCTTCCTTCTTAAGATGTTGACGAACGTTTTAAATGTTTTTGGTACTGGTAAAGATTGATCTTTATGGTAAAGTCTGAGGACTATGGTTGTAAGTAAGACAGAAAAGGCACTCATTGAAACAAGAAATATGAGGTAGATTGCCAATAAAGAAGTTTCAGTGGATGTGTGAGGCATATTATCAGAGATCAGTGTGAGGAAAACGACGTAAGCCAGTAAAATGGTAATGCAAAGAGATATCTTCTCTCCTGAATCAGCTGGTAAAACAAACGCAAGTGACCCAATAATAGATAAAACTATAATCGGCAGAATTATATTGAGCAGATAAAACGGGAATCTTCTTTTAAGAGTCAAATGAACAATGATAATATCTGTATATGTCGAATCATCTCTTGTTATGTCCGCTGAAATTAGTTCCCATTCGCCATTGGAGTGTATTCGCCCAAATCTACTTTATCGATAGAGTTATTCATGATAAATTCATGTCTTTCCAGAGATGCTGCTGCGAATTCTATTTTACAATTCTGAATGTCTATAGGATAGTATCTGATACTTATCTTACAAGAACTTTTAATCATCACCGAAGGATACCAGTTAACGTCACCATCGCTAATGACGCGAGCCTGAAACTGATTGTAACCTAATGAAGCCTGCTTTTCAACTGAGTTCCTCACAATTATATCAGGAGTCCAAATCTGATTCTGAGCTACATTCAGTTCTTTAATTCCAGCATGTTCGTCTACATCCCAGCTTAAATAATTATCATACCAAATTAAGTAAAGGTAGCCTTTAGTAACTAGGGTCTGTTCCTTTTCATGAAGTTCAGTTATTGATCCCAGACTATAATGAAATTTGAGGAACAAAATATATCCATCATCGAACACTGGACGAAGATCGGTTTTATAGCCAGTAAAAATGGTTTGGTATAAGGAATTATAGTCATCTCTGTTTGCTGCATCACAATATACAATGTTTGCGATAAACAGTATCCACGCTATGTAATGCATACTTATATACAACATATACAACACAAACTTAAACTTAGAAAATATTCGCTGCTGCTAGGCTGGAGATAATAAGAATACCAAATTCCAGGAACGTGCCCGAATTCCGTGCGTTATCTTCTAAATTACAAAATCACATTTAATCTGTTTATGGTAAACTTCGCACCCTTCAACTGTTTATTTCTCAGATGACTTCAGATGATATGAAGTGAAGACTAGAATTTTGAGTTAAATACCGTGGTGTGGTAAATAATTGATAACTATAATATATTTCATCCTCGTAAAACAAAAAGAAATTTACATGTGCTCTTCTTCTTGTGATATATTGATTATTGAATGATCAATGGTTAGAAGAAGATAGCAATCCTAACTTTATATCTGAATTTGTGAAAGATCTGATCATAAATATTGACATCACTTCTTTATCGTATCAGATGATGGTTGGCGAGACCAAACAGACTAAAAGTGGAATTAAAATAATTACTGCTTTAACGTAACCAAGATATTTCTTTTGTTACTTCGTACTAAAACGAGATATGATGTACAGTACAGTATTGCATAATGTAATGTGTGGGTTCATTTATTGTCTGAGACTAAATGTTTAAAAGTTTTTACGAGGGTAGGTAGGTTGGTAGATGACAAGTTAACGTTCGCTTCCAGTGGATGCTGATATCGCAAACTAGGTAGTTGTTGGTAGTCGTAGTAGTTGGTAGTTGGATTGGTTCAAATTGGATGATTCTGTTTTGTTGGTTTGGTTGTTGATTCTTCGTTAGATCTGGTCGGGTCGAATGACATGGCGGTGAAACTCGGCCCTGGATGGTGTGGTGTGAGTTTTTATGAGATATCTAACAGTCGTAGGGGGGACTTTATTTTGGTCGCGTATTGAAGGTGATTGTTTGGTAAAGGTGGTCGCCTGAGCAGGATTCACTGTATATACATAATATTATTATCTACATAAAATTATGTGACATATATTGACAAGTAGCCACATTTCAAAGTATGTTCATTTAGAAAATTTTGAAGTGACAAAATTCAAAATATAATACCAAAATATTTGTATCCCAGGGATATAAATGGTAAAAAGAAGTTTATATTTTTCCACCGTTGTTCATCATGTTATGAACTTACGTTTCATATCAAAGAAACTTATGAAGCCATTAAGTAAAAGTAGGACTGTGTATTCAAAGATCGTAAAGTAATAACTGATTGAACAACGCTAAAACCATCAGTGATTCCTAAACAAAGATTTTTAATAAATTAAACCTTCTTCTTCCTAACAGTTGACTATCATAAATAATAAAACAAGATATGAAAGGTAAATATCTCGACTGATTGATTAAAACAATTTACAACTCACTGATGTTTGTTCAGTAAGCGAACTGAGTGGGTTTCAAATCTTTTAGACATTTAAATTGTTAATGAAATCAAAGTCTATAGCCTTTTAGGTGCAATTCAACATGTCGAGTTCCACAAGTCCACGTATTAGTGGGTTTACACTGAATAATTCTAGAATCCATGCGAGTGCCGTTGGAGAGCCTAGTTTCCTACACCCCACCAGTGGTGCAGCGGAGTGTTGGGTGGAGGGTGAAATAACGGGCGTTAAACTCAATTTCAATTAATAAATAATAAAATTCAGAAACATAAAAACAAGAATATTTTTTTTGATGTGCTTTCGTATATATTAGACTGAGAATTACATCACATTAAACGCTGAAAACAAATAAACTAAGAACTGGAATGAATGAATGAATGAATGAATGAATGAATGAATGAGTGAGTGAGTGAGTGAGTGAGTGAGTGAGTGAGTGAGTGGAGTGAGTGAGTGAGTGAGTGAACGAACGAACGAACGAAAGAATGAGCTGAAGTCATGAAAATAATTGGGTTATAAAATATTTACCTATCCTTTTGATTTTTTTTTCAGGTGGTTTTGCTTTGTTATTAATTTTACCATGGTTATACTTTGTTTATGATTCACCTGATCTGCATCCTAGAATAGAGATTGACGAAATGAAATACATCAATAGAGGCAAGGTACCAAGTGAAAAGGTAAACCTAATCTATTATACATATCAAAGTATTTGATTCTGGTCAAGAGCGAACGAATCTTACGGTTATATAAACCTCAATTATAATAAATTAGAGACAGTCGTCATGGTTTTTATGTTCACTCGTCTGATAGACTATTAGTTTCCCTGCTAAGAGATCAAGTCAATTGAGACGACGCATTCCTCTTTCAGTAACCTCAGATAACAATAAGATTATCATACAAATCCTAAACTTGAATCGTTTTCTTCCAGATGACAAAACCCCCGTGGAACGATATAATGCGATCAATGCCGTTTTGGGCTATCGTCGTTGCCCATATAAATCATGGTTGGACAACAACGTGGGTCCTTGCTTATTTACCAAAATATCTACAGACCATCTTACAGTTTGGAGTTCAAGAAGTAGGTCATATGGAGTTTTAAATTGACTAAATGTTTAGATTTCTTTGACTCTCTTTGTTATTGCGTATACATTATATAAAAGTTTATGCCACCATTTATTGCAACCAGAAACAATGCTGTAGTTAGGCAAATGCTATCGTAATGAAGTACTCAGTGGTTAATTCATTTCGTCTACTTGACAATTTATAGAAACGCCACTGTTTGATTTTAAAAAAATTCGAATACATCGAATTGAGTCGCAGATATTTCTGAAACAACTGCTTTAATTGTGTTTACCTTTTTTTTTAAAATCAGGATGGTATTTTATCGTCCGTCCCATTTGCTGGTCCATTACTATCAGGAATATTTTGTGGTTATTCCTCAGACTGGTTGATCAGGAAAAAGATTTTCTCCGTAGAAATCGTTCGTAAACTGTACCAAATTGTAGGTAAGACAAGTTGTATACACTCTGTTTATTTTGCGGATAGAAAGTTTCTCGTGTATAAGAGTTTTGTTAAGTTTCGCAAAGTAATAAAAAGTGTTCGTCTGCGCATTTTATAACAACCCTCCATTCAGAGGAGAGACTGGTCTGGCTTCGTCACCTTCCCCTCTCCATTCACTATCATATTCTTGTTATTGTACAAAGTAAAAGGAGTTCACCTTGACGATTATGTGACCCCTACTTGACCCCCTCACTCAATGATTAACGGAAACGCTATTGGTGCTGGGGAGACGACGATCAGATTAGTTTATGCAGAGGATAACGTCTCACAAAATACGAAAGTTGTGTACTATAATTGATTAATATGATACAATTTTATAAATTTTAGGATGTGTTGGTTGTGCAGCTTGTTTTTTCACCATTAGTTTTCTTGATCATACTAATAGAGAATTAGCTGTTGTATTATTTATCATTGGTTTAACCTTCCAAAATTTCACCACTGTAGCATTCCGAATAAATCATTTAGATATAGCCCCAAAGTAAGTGAATATTCCAGGATATTTTTGCAAGTGTTAAACCTATTTGAGATATTTTCGATCCAAATTTTGTCGGGGTTAATCTATTGTAACGAACGTTAAACTTCATAAGAAATAGCCTCCTAAGATATTACCATCATTTGTCAAGAGTTCAGGAGAAATATATATCCTTGATACATGCTCTTTCTTACCTTTAGGAAACTGATCATTTCTGATTATTTCAGATATGCCAGCGTTTTAATGGGAATAACTGTTACCATAGCAATGGTTTCTGCATTATCAGCACCATTAATTACATCAGTCATTATTAGGAACGATTCTGAAGAGGAATGGAAGCATGTGTTCTGGATTGTGTCAGGCATAAACATTGTTGGTGCCATTTTTTATGTTATATTTGCCAAAGGAGAAGTTCAGTCGTGGGCTAGTGAAGTGTCTGTTGACATTATAGATCCACCTATCAACGTCACAACGCTCAAACATTTAGGCATATCACGTGTTAAAAGTAGTGCTACAGATTTGAGTCTGCCAAACTTTCTTGATGCCACTAATGAAAAGGCGGAAATAAATAAATCTTTTGTTGCTGATGACGAACTTGATAAGAATTCCTGTGATAAAAACGACAGTATATATGATGAGAGTTGTACCAAATTGTGAAGGGATTCATATATATAGGCAAATGATATGTAGGGTAGTGTATAATCCAAAGCGTTATCTAGCCTACTAGACGCTATTAAAGGGATACTACGTCTTAGGATGAACATAAAATTTTAATTTTGCTCAAATTTGGCCAATATCAGTATATATCCATCAGTGAACTTACCTGGTGTCCTAACTATACATCAAAGTCCCTCTATAATCCGATATATCCACAAAATCAAGTAATTAATTATAAAACGCTTAATACATCCATTAGGCGATTTTCAAATCGTGAGTCTAGGAAATCCGGTGTAATTTTCAAGGGGAAGTAACTCTCAAGTGGGGTTTCCCGCGTCCTTGACCTCTACTCTTGTATTGACCTCGACATTGTCAGACATATTTTGAAGACGGAATAATAATGCCTCGTAGGAGATTAAGCAACTCCACGAAAAAGCAATTCATATAATTTAGAATGAATACTCCACCACTGACACAATTTTCAACGAATATTAATCATTGGCAAAGTTTGTTTGTATACACCGGAAGATGATTGTATCCTGTTTTAGCGTTGATTACCCAGACTCTTTTTTCTCAAACTGAACGGATTCATGGCTTGCTCACTTTTTTTTTAAATTATGATAAATAGTTTTATTGTCGATTTTTCAAACGTGATAAAGTGTGGGATGTATACTTATTTAACCAATGGTCACTATTAAACACAAATATTAGCCACAGGGCGAGTGTATTCTAAGACGTATTATCACTTTAAAGGGATACTACGTCTTGGGATGAACATAAAATTTTAATTTTGCTCAAATTTGGCCAATAACAGTATATATCCATCAGTGGACTTACCTGGTGTCCTAACTATACATCAAAGTCCCTCTATAATCCGATATATCCACAAAATCAAGTAATTAATTATAAAACGCTTAATACGTCCATTAAGCGATTTTCAAATCGCGAGTCTAGGAAATCCGGTGTAATTTTCAAGGGGAAGTAACTCTCAAGTGGGGTTTCCCGCGGCCTTGACCTCTACTCTTGTATTGGCCTCGACATTGTCAGACATATTTTGAAGACGGAATAATAATGCCTCGTAGGAGATTAAGCAACTCCGCGAAAAAGCAATTCATATAATTTAGAATGAATACTCCACCACTGACACAATTTTCAACGAATATTAATCATTGGCAAAGTTTATTTGTATACACCGGAAGATGATTGTATCCTGTTTTAGCGTTGATTACCCAGACTCTTTTTTTCTCCAACTGAACTGACTTGTCGCTTGCTCACTTTTTATAAACATTTTGATTATAGTTTTGTTGTCGCTTTTTCAAACTTGATAAAGTGTGGGATGCATACTTATTTAACCAATGGTCACTATTAAACACAAATATTAGCCACAGGACGAGTGTATTCTAAGATGTAGTATCGCTTTAAGAAAGCTTTAAAGGCTGAATACGGGATGACAAGTGGACAGAGAATATTGGATTGGATTAGTGAAACAGAGAACAGATATTGATCTGTATTATATTTGTATATCATGTAAAATAAAAATGTTAATAAAAAACGAATCGTATAAAAATTATTTGTAATTGGATACTCATAGTTTTTATAGCAACATTCCGATATCCCGCCCAACGATGTAGTTCCTGCACATAATGTGACTGTTCCCACTTCTGCTGGACAAGAGATATACTTTTCACTAGGTAAAGCAAATTATGCAAGCGAGTACGTGCTTCCTGTGTACTATACTCTGCTAAATATACGCACAAAACTAATTCTGAGTCTTCCACGAAATAAATAAAATATGTTTAGGAATATTATTAAATCTTGATTAAATCAACATTTGTGTGTTATTTTAAAGGGATACTACGCCTTAGGATGAACATAAAATTTTAATTTTGCTCAAATTGGGCCAATAACATTATATATCCATCAGTGGAATTACCTAACTATACATCAAAATCCCTCTATAATCCGATATATCCACAAAATCAAGTAAATAATTATAAAACGCTTAGTACACCCATTAGGCGATTTTCAAATCGTGTGTCTAGGAAATCCGGTGTAATTTTCAAGGGGAAGTAACTCTCAAGTGGGGTTTCCCGCGTCCTTGACCTCTACTCTTGAATTGACCTCGACATTGTCATATTTTGAAGACGGAATAATGATACCTCGTAGGAGATTAAGCGACTCCGCGAAAAATCAATTCATATAATTTAGAATGAATACTCCACCACTGACACAATTTTCAACGAATATTAATCATTGGCAAAGTTTATTTGTATACACCGGAAGATGATTGTTTCCTGTTTTAGCGTTGATTACCCAGACTCTTTTTTCTCAAACTGAACGGATTCGTGGCTTGCTCACTTTTTTTTAAAATTATGATTATAGTTTTATTGTCGATTTTTCAAACTTGATAAAGTGTGGGATGCATACTTATTTAACCAATGGTCACTATTAAACACAAATATTAGCCACAGGGCGAGTGTATTCTAAGACGTATTATCACTTTAAAGGGATACTACGTCTTAGGATGAACATAAAATTTTAATTTTGCTCAAATTTGGCCAATAACAGTATATATCCATCAGTGAACTTACCTGGTGTCCTAACTATACATCAAAATCCCTCTATAATCCGATATATCCACAAAATCAAGTAATTAATTATAAAACGCTTAATACGTCCATTAAGCGATTTTCAAATCGTGAGTCTAGGAAATCCGGTGTAATTTTCAAGAGGAAGTAACTCTCAAGTGGGGTTTACCGCGTCCTTGACCTCTACTCTTGTATTGACCTCGACATTGTCAGACATATTTTGAAGACGGAATAATAATGCCTCGTAGGAGATTAAGCAACTCCACGAAAAAGCAATTCTTATAATTTAGAATGAATACTCCACCACTGACACAATTTCCAACGAATATTAATCATTGGCAAAGTTTATTTGTATACACCAGAAGATGATTGTATCCTGTTTTAGCGTTGATTACCCAGACTCTTTTTTTCTCAAACTGAACGGACTTGTCGCTTGCTCACTTTTTATAAAAAATTTGATTATAGTTTTATTGTCGATTTTTCACACTTGATAAAGTGTGGGATGTATACTTATTTAACCAATGAACACTATTAAACACAAATATTAGCCACAGGACGAGTGTATTCTAAGACGTAGTATCACTTTAAGAATTAGCTATATCTTATTGCACCTATTAAAGAATAATGTAATTTACGAAAAGAAACACTATTTCATCCCTTGTGTTTTCTTAATAATAAGTACAAAATGTAGGCTATATATAGTTTGCCTATCACTTTTTATCATTCTTTGCCTGAGAACGACGAGGGAAGCACATGGAAACGACAGGCCCGTAGCTATGGGGTGGGGTGGGGCGATTTTGCGATATTGGTCCAAATGCACGTGCACGATTTCGAAGTAGGACAGAACAGGCATTCAGTAAGCGAAAAACCACCAAAAGTATGCCAAGACTTACGCAAGCGCAACGAGATAGAGCGATCGGTATGTTCAATATGGGGGCTTCTTAACGACAGATAGCTAGAACCTTCAACTGCTCCCAGACCACCATCAGCAATTTGATAATCCTCCAACAGACAGGACAAGATCGGGAAGACCGAGGGTGACAACACCGGCCAACGGCCGCTACATCCGGAGGATTAATCTTCGAAACAGATTGGTGACGGCGGCGTCGACGGGAGCAACAGCACTAGGTCATGTCATCAGCAGACGAACAGTCCTTCGAAGACTTCGTTCAGTTGGTATACGAGCCTACCGACCCGTCTACATCGTCAACGCAGACTGCAATTCAGACTATCTGAACAATTCCAACGTCGAAGTATTGCCCTGGCCACCTTGTTCCCCTGACATGAACCACATTTAACCTCTCTGGGGTCATCTTGATCGTCAGCTGAGACAACATGTACCGCCTCCAGTGAACCGACAGTAACTTGAGCCACCCTTAAAAAAACTACGGGCCTGGGAAACGAGGGGTGGTCATGGTGGAAACGTTGCATAAAACTTGTTGTCCCATAAAGCTGTGTCTATATCATAATCCCAGTTGTATTGATATCGGTGGTCTATATAGCCTCATAGAGTTATTAAATATAAACTATATCTCTATGATAATATAGCCTATATAATATAATTCTTCCATATGTTGGCATCACGCGTCAAGATGTTATTCTACAGACACAGTTCACAGATGGGAAGTTGTGATCACCCAGCCTTCCCTAGTCTAGGAAAATGTAAGTGTTCTCGCGTAGAACCTTGAAATGGTTTTTGGAGTTACAACAAAATTTTGAACGTGTGATTTTGACTTTATGATTATTCGGGTTATTCGCAAATGATGATAATCTTTTACGATAAATAGATTGCGGCTAAAGAAAAAAAGTTTACGTAACTTTTGTAAAGTTAAAAAAAAAGGCTTGCGTAATCACCGAAATGTACTCACTATAAACATATCTCGTTTCACATTATTTCCCTGTGTTATATTTGAATTTCAAACTTGCCTGTGTTATCAAAACAAGTTGTATATTTTACTAACTACTTTCTTCAATGTGATGTACTTTAGTATTTCATTTTTGATATATTTCTTTGAAACATACATACAACATGATTCAAAGAATTAAAATCTTTTGTTCATAGTTCCTGCTATTCAATAAAAACATTCTGCTTCAATTTAGACTGTCACTTCCTCATGTTATCCATAATATGCTGGTATTATTATGATGAAATCAGTAATAATTTTACTATTAATGTTAATAACTCTGAAAAACTAATTGGAACATTACATTTGAATTGCAGGAGAGGTAGGCCTAAGTCAGATTTGTACTGTCCATTTAAAACACTGTACAGCTTTTGATATTTTCATTTATCGTTATCAATGAATATTCTTTTTTGATATCTTTATTTTTTAGTTACTATGAGAAAACAGACATATATATTGTCACGATGGTAGAAAAAATGTCAAAAGCTGATTCTGAACAATATGTTCTTTAAAGCATAAATGTGATACTTGTAACAAATCATTTAAAATTCTCAGTAGGCTGAAGAGACGTGTTATCACCCATACAGGAGAAAAACCATATAAATGTGATGTCTGCGCTCAAGGATTTTCATTGCAGAGTTATCTTGGTCGACATAAACTGATTCATCAGGATAGGAACATTTTCAGTTGCAAAACCTGTGGACAACAATTAGCTTCAAAACAATCTTATCTATTACATTTAAAGATTCACACTGGAGTTAAAGATTATGCTTGTGGTTTCTGTGGTAAGTTTTTTCATCACACCAGTAATGTGACCAAACATTGCGCAATTCATCAGAGAGATACCATCTACTTTAAATGTGAAGTTTGTGAAAAGAAGTTAAGTTGTAAAGTTAGTCTCAATCACCATTTAAAGATCCATGCTCCAACATCAGTACATAAGTGTGATATTTGTGGTAAATCTTTTACCACTGTATTTCAAGTCCGCAATCACCAAATCATACACAGTGGAGCCAAACCCTACAGCTGTCATATCTGTAGTAAATCATTTAACAGCAAACAAAATTGTGTAAGACACATGAAAGTTCATACAGGTGTCAAACCTTATAAATGTGATGTTTGTAGTAAGCATTTTAATGATTTGGGTGCACTGAAAGTACACAATAAAATACATACAGGAGAGAAACCATATGAATGTGTGATTTGTAGCAAAGCATTCAGAGCCAAGTGTGATTTAACAAGACATGTAAGAATTCACACAGGAAAAAAACCCTACACATGTTATGTATGTGACAGGTCGTTTTGTCAAATATACCAATTAAAAACACATCAGAAGACACATGAAAGTAATAGAAAGAAATTTGAATGCCAAATCTGTTCTAAATTATTGGGTTACAAAGGTGCATTAGAGCGACACTACAGGATATACAGCGGTGAGAAGCCCTATTCTTGTAATAAGTGTTCAAAATCTTTTCGATCCCAGTCAGAGTTACGGCTTCATATCTGCACACATACAGGAGAGAAACCCTTCAAATGTGATGTCTGTAGTCATACATATAGTAATAGTTCTAACTTACACAGACACAAGAAAATACACACAGAAGATGAAGAAAATGTACATGAATGTAAACTTTGTTTAAGAACATTTGTTTATAGAAATAATCTTGTCAGACATAAATGTAAAAGATCAAATAAAAGAATGAAAAAGTCAGATAGAAGTGAAATGAAGAGTTTACAGATTTAACATCTGATTTATGTATTCAGTGCTAGGTACAAGAGGGTTTACTATTTAGTGATATATGAGTGTAATGCATGTCCCCAATGCTTGATAGAAGAGAGTGAGACATACGAGTAATACCTTTGTCACTTGTCAAACATTTTATAAGTTTAAGTTATTTGTAAAAGGATTATTATAGATAGATATTTTCTAGTCTGGTAAAAGAGGTCACAGGAATGTAATGGATTCTGTATAAAATAAAATTTGATGCTTTGTGGTTGCATCGGCCAATTTGATTATGTGCTCTACTGAATACACTTTTCTTAAATAAGGTTTTCATCAAACAATGTTTATTCAATATAATTGTTAATTTTGTCCAAAGATTATTTGCAAAACCGGTAAATTATTTTCAACCATAGATTCTATATTCAAATTTTATTTTATTTTGTGCATATGTTGCCAAAACAATTATTCTAGTCTTACCATATTAAAATATTTTTCAGAAATTTGCTTTTGCTTTTATTAAATGTCTTAGATTTGAAATAAGACCAAACAGGTACCTCTGTGATTACAATGATTTCTGAATTGAATTCTGCCAATCATTTCCGAATGAATTGAAATATCAACTACAAAATACTACTAAGACTTAGATTGTGATGAAAATATTAACCACTTGAAAAGTTATTATATTTAAACATGATTTTACAGAGGGGAATTTTCAGTCTCAAAAGTCTGTCATTTTAGAGTGAGTTTTCAAGGAGGAAAGTGTATCTATTTAAAATGTAAAATCGCTGAACCTAATATTTTATGGACCCGAAGACATTCCAAGACATTTAAAATACAAATGAAAACTTGATTTGGGATATTTATCACATGAGAGAAAATATTAAATTCAGATCTCAACATAGTCAGAGAGTAGTTACTTTTATATATAGATAGATAGATATATTTTTAATAATGTGAATCTTCCAAGATCCAAACATAAAAAGGTCAGGTCGTGTGGTAAGTTTTGTGAAACAGTTGACTTTAAAGTGGTCGTAGTAGGCAGAATTGTCTCCCATCGTTTTACTCTCTTATGTTGTGAAATCAGAAATAGTCAGCAAATAGTAAACACTGAGGAAATCGACCTTTGGTCCCAATGAAATTAAAAATCAGCTTTTTGCATTTGGTTTCTTCATTATATTGTCTCGACTGGTGATATTTATTCTATAGGTAAACATGTTTAATGTGGTTTAGATTGTCACTTATAGGATGCACTGTAAATGATTCTCTTGGCGCTTATTAAAACAACTCATGTGAGGTTTATCATGTGACATGTCATACTCAGCCATAAACTGGTACCCCATTCCATCAAGCTTCACACAGAAGGAGCGGTTTTGTCCTATTGTCATCTTAGTATTGATTGGTCGAAATTCACTTCATTCTCTACAGTAAGGTCATTGGGGTTCCTTGTTTTCAATGCTAAATAGATGATGTCTCGCAAAGTCAAGTTAATAACACAGACATTTTTGGATGTTTTCCTTTTTTTTTTTACCAACTCGGTGGTAGTCTATAGCATCAGTAAGCTTACATCAATGATTTTTCGTTTGTGAAGCAATTAATTGTAAAATTTCCAAAAACTTTTAAGTTTGTTTATACAGTGGTGTAACCTATTTTCGTGGATATAAGGATTCAACACCGAATTTCGTCAAAGTTAAAAAAACGAAATTTTTTTTTTATGTCTTAGATGTTCCCTCAGATATTCTACAAAATAATTAAAATTGGTTTGTTTCGATTTTCTTTATGAATCCTTCACTTTGACCCATATTTCATGAGCAACCAACTCGGCAACGGCGGCAGAATATGTTACCTATTTTCGTGTACAATGTTTGATCTATAAATAAATCGAGAAAAACATGTTGTATGGATGCCGGGTGGTATAATTAATTTCTCTTAGTATTTATCTTTAATATCAGTTCATTATAACTAGTGATCACGTGACCTCATTCGTTGGACTACATTCTAGCAGACTACACTTGAAATTCCGATTACAGCTTGGGGTTATAAGGAAATTCAGCCGATAAAAAATGGTGACGTTTGGTAATAACTGAAATCTGCCATTTTGTATATGTCAAAGTATACATTAATACATTTAACTTGCTTGAAACTACTGGATTCATTCTACTAGCTGATATTGTGGAGATAACACATGTTTATCAAAACAAGCTAATGCGGAGGTCACGCGAGGTCACGCGAGGTCGCACATGTAAATTATTAATCATTTCCGGAAATGCACGAAAAATAGGTTAGCACGAAATTAGGTTACTTGACTCTACAATAGATTGTTTTTGGGTTGATGAGAATGTTAACCACTAAACAATTGGGGCCATATATTCAAATGATGATTTAGTTATTTGTAAACTAGCAATTTTCAGTCCGAAAAGTAGGTCATTTTCACTTGAATTTACTGGAAATATGTCTATTTCAAATATAAAATCACTGAACCTTATATTTCTATGGACACCAAGACATTCTGAGACAATTGGTATAGAGCTGAAAAGCTCAATGTAGTCAGAGAGTAGCCTGATCACTTTGACACTTGCTCTACTAAATATTGTCAATTGGCCAATTAATTTATTGATAAAGTTTACCTTTTGTTATCTTTTGGACTTTTGCACCTTTTTAAATTGTGATAATAGCCTGTTCAAGTACTCTGTACTTGTAAAGTAGTCTATTATAAACTAATAAATATAAAACATCTGAAGTTTGAGTTTGGAAGGTGAGTGATATTTTGCAGGACACATAGGCTGTTAAAGTTTCTTTATTGTTTGTGTGGTGCAGGGAGGTTTAATATTGCCCTGTTGTTATCTGTGAAATTCACAATATCTTAGATTAATTTCAACAGAAAAGCTAACTTTGACTCTGACTGTTAACAATTCATTGAAACTTGCATGTCCATTTCACTTGCATTATGAACATATTGTTTAGGTGCACTGACTATGATCAGACAATCATCTATCTTGTTACTATCTGAGCTAGTGATCTCATGTAATTGTATTTACATTCATCCAGAACGTAACCCCCTGCATATTGCATCCCGAATCCCGGGTTTTGATATGGTCTTATTCACCTGTATTAATTATTATTAACCTAAACAATCTACACTTCGGTTTGTGGGTGAAATTAGATTGGAGCTATTTAAATCTGACCAATTGGATCAGTAGATCAAAATGAGAAAAACCAAACTAACAACTCCAATTCTTTACCCAACTTCTTACTTAATTCTGTATCGTTCAAAACATTTTATGACACGCTGCTTTCGTTTTGTTTACGTTCGTGATTATAGTGTCATAACAAGTGGTTTAATTTGATTGGCTGAGATTTTCTAGAAAGATTCCAGAACCAATTTTCATTGGACAATATTTGTGTGACTACGTGATTTTCCTCAATTGTATTACCACGGCCCGAGGAAGTATGACGAATAGGGGTGTGGTTTGGACACGATGCCCCCTGCACTCATTCTTCAACCTAGATTTAGTAACCTAATGCTCAAACCTAAGGAACAAAAGCAACCATGCTTTGAAGGAAAGAAACTGTGTCCTCAATATATGTGCATGGATATGGATAACTGACTTGAAAAGTTAGTAAAGCTATTTTTCATTTTTAGTGGCCGGATTAAAAACAGCAAATATGATGATGGCATCATCCAAATCTTTCCTGTCTGATACAGAGAAGACATTTGAATATCAGAATATACTTCCGTCTTTACCTATTCCTCCACTACAACATACACTAGATAGATATTTAGATTCAGGTTGGTAAGATTTTTCTTCTGACAGTGCAGCAGGTTGGAGGTGCTAACATGGGAAAGGCAATGGCAAAGCAAAATGCTTATACACCAGCCCTTGAAATGGAAATTCTTAAGTTGCTTTGTTTTAAATTGCATATTATAGCTTAATCAAGACTGATAAGTAGAGCTCATTATATGCATTGGAGCATTATAAACTGCTGTAAATTTAAATGCTTTGATACTTTTGCTTCAAATTCTAACTTTTGTTGGCAATCTTGTATTTACATCATGGCAGTCTCTGTACAGTGCTGTTAAACATATATTTCAGTAAAACCTCATGTAACAGAAGAAGAATACAGACAAACAGAATTTCTGGTCAATCAGTTTGCCTCTGGTCTTGGTAAAGAATTACATTTTAAACTAAGTGAGAAGGCCAAGTATATGAGAAACTGGGTAAGAATTAGTCAGAATGTTTCTAGAAATATTTTCATCAAACTTGGTGTTGAACTTCAGAACGTGTAAGTGAATGTGTAATTTTTTGTATGTATGTAAAACATACAAACAAAACATGGATTCTTTCAGAAAATAGTGCATTTAATATTCAATTGAAAAAAGATATTAACCATGTACTGGAATTGTGTATTATAATGAATTTGTGTTACATTTAATGTCCTTAAATGACATGAGTGATGTAGCTTTCTTATAATGATGGAATTGAAAGTTTGATAAAGCTTTGAAATAAATTTCAGCTGGAAAAATGGTGGGATGAGGCTGTATATTTAGAATTACGTAATCCAAATGCTTTATATGGTAACATGTCTGGTCCAGGCCCATATATGTACAATCTATGGACAGCGAAAGCAGACAGCCAGTTAGAAAGAGCTTCTCTAATGCTTAATGTTATAACAGAGTATTGGCAAAACTTAAGAAGGTAAATGAAGTCTTTGCTATTGGATCACAGAATAAAGACATTTTCCTTGAAACTACCATGGTTCACAAAGTCAAAATAATTTTTCATATCATTATATTCATGTATTATTTATGAGATTCTCCTTGCTTGAGTAGATTATAAATGAGGTAACATTATATGAATATTCATTATCTGTTAAGTAATAAACTGGCACAATACAAAATGTAAAAATATGTAATATATATAAACCTGTTAGAGAAAAGATTGTTTAAAGAATGGAATGTGATGTGGAACTAATTTTTTCTTTGTAAAACAGGACATCTTACCTCGAAAAATTTGGACACAGAATTTTTGTCTCAGTTGTTGCTTAATGATTTTTTGTAATTTCTAGGGAGAGATTACGCCCACATAAAGATAATAAAGGGAGATCACTATGTATGAATCAGTTTCGTCGAATGTTTAATTGTTCACGTATACCTGGTCATTTCAAAGATGAACTTTTATATCATTTTAAAACAGGTAATTCTTGTTCATCTTATTATAATAAATTATTTTCAAAGTGCTCAATACATCAATATTGTAGAGCAACATAGAAACATTAAAACAGAACCTGAAACATGCCATTACTCAGAGTTTTAAGATGTGCAATCTTAAGACATATAACATCAGATATAGTTTCAATTATTTTGTATTTATGTTCAAATCAGATTTTGTGCTCAAAAGAAGAAGGCCTATAGCATGGCTAATGGCTTCCAAAATAGATAATATGTTGTTTTAATATGAGTTGTTTTTACTTTCTTACATTGACAAGTGCTGCCTTTCCTCAATTTATTTTTTAGAATCAGAAGGAGACTGCCCAAGCAATATTATTGTTTTGTATAAAGGAAGGATATTTTCTATACAGTCTGTTGATGAAAATGATGAACCACTAACAGCCCCAGAATTTATGATCTTATTACAAATTATATATAAACAATGTAACAGTTCACCTCCTGGTCAAGGCCTAGCTAATCTTACCACATTAAAACGCTCAGACTGGGCTGAGGTAGGTACATAGACTAATTCTTCTCAAGTCAGATTTGGCTGAATCAAAGCTTTCTAGTTATTTATCTAGTAGCTTTCATGAAAAATGCTTAACGATTGTTTTGTTTTAGCTCTTAACGGATTGTGAACTACCTTGTCTAAAAAGTTGGCTGTCAACTACATGATCAAAGTCAGCCTATCCTAATTTCCTTCCTACTTGCAAATTTTTTTCCTGAGGTGCATACTGTTTACAATGACAGATTTCTTTTTTACTTGAGCGTAAGAATTGGTGTGCATTATATTCACAATTATAAAGTATGTATTTTAGCAAAAAATGTGCCTTCAAAGTTTTATTTATATAATTTATTGTTTATAGGCCAGAGGACGAATTCTAGCTCTACATCCAGATAATTATCACAAACTACAGGAAATAGAGAAGTCTGTTTTTGTACTGGGTTTAGATGATTATAGTCCTAAAGATGAATCAGAGGTATGTAATTAAATAGGCAGTTAAGGCTGGGCGATATATATCGGTATTACGATATAATATTAGTAATATCGCCTACACATCTACACTTTTGTTCCAAAAACCAGTAAAAACCATCCTTAATATTGTGATATATTGATATTGCCCAGCCCTATGGACAGTTATAAAATACCTATAAGGAGTAAAAAAAAAATTTTAGTTTTCTTGATAATAAAGGCTGGACAGGTATAACATTTTGTTATTCTTCTCAAATACTATAATTTTTTTTATTTGTAGTTAGCATGGCAAGGTTTAGGTGGTAATGCTGAAGGGAAATGGTTTGATAAATCTTTATGTGTTGTTGTTTATAAAAATGGTTTAATTGCTTCAAATTGTGACGTAAGTGGGTTCTATAAAACTTTCATTTAGAGGAATAAAGACTTCCAGTATGTATGTGCAGGAAATAATAAAACAATAAATATTTGTGCAATACAGACTTTCAAATTTGTTTTCTTTGAATTGTTTGAAAAATGAGTTTGCTTTTGATTGAACATTAAATATTGAAGAAGTTATCCTGTATTTTAGCATGCCCCAACAGATGCCATGGTATTAGTATCCTGTACATATTATGTTCATCTAAGAGTTTTAGAACATAAAGGTTCCTGGCAGGTAAGGCTATCTTTTTTTCATATATATACTGTGATACATGTATGTGTATCATATATAGATATATCCCATGGTTAATTACACAATATTATATTTTTGATCATTTTGCAACTTACATTCAGTGATTTTTAACAAACATATACATATTAAAGTCTGGGAGTAATTGAATGCATATATATATATTTACAGGGAACTAAAACTATCAGGAAATTAAAGGCACCAATGGAATTGGAATTACATCTTGATCCCCATATTATAAAAACCATAAGCGAAGCCAAAACTATATTCCCAAAAAATGTACGTATTGTGATAAAATTTTGTCTTCTTTATAAACAATAAAAGTCTTAGCTGTTATTATACAATATTTCAGACCAGCAGAAAAACAAGTGAAAAAAAAACAATATTAATCAGTGATTCACAGAGCTCTGTCATTATTACATTATTGGAGAAATATTTCCATTATCTAAGTTCGTTTATTTAATGAATTAAGAACATTTCAGCCAAATATTATGACTTGTGGGGTAGAAGTAAGCCATATGTGGAATTATCTTAACTAATATTCTATGTTATTTTCAGTGTGATAGTGTAGAAGTATTAACCAGCCATTTTACAGAATATGGTAAATCTTTTATACGCAAACACAAACTACACCCAGATACACATGTACAGCTAGCATTACAATTAGCTTATTACAGACAGCATAGGAGGTAGATAACATAAACTACACCCAGATACACATGTACAGCTTATTGATTCTGATGAAACTTGGTGTGATCATTGAAATTGATAAGATCTCAGACAAGTTCTAACTTGACGCATTTTCGATGAAATGTTTTTGAGTTAATGCCATTAACTTACGAAATACGCGTCAAAATTTGTTTGTGAGCACAATAGAAGCTACAGTTTTCAACCGATTATGATGAAACTTGGTGTGATCATTGGAATTGATAAGATCTCGGACAAGTATTAACAAGAGATATTTTTGATGAACATTTTTTGAGTTATTGCCCTTGACTTTGTAAACACGCGTCAAAAGTTGTTTTTTGCCCTTGATTAGAGCTGTGTGATTTAATTGTTTATTGTATTTGGGTTATTGATATTGATTTTAAAAAATTTTGTGGAATTATTCAGCATAAATAATTTCTTCAATATGAGAAAATTCGTACTTTAGTCACTAAAGACTGTTTTATCATTTCTGCCAGCTGCCAGTGGGCGTATGTTACCTTGCATCGCAAGCTATCTTTTATTCATTTGTCATTTAGCACATTGAACATTGTATAACATATCTTGACAAGATCTGAAGTGGAATAAATGTTTTCACAGTTGTTGATGGTCCAAAATTAATTCAGATTAGACAGAAGATTATTAGATCTATATGCTATTTTCTTTATGTAGACCAGCACCAACATATGAGACAGCTACAACTCGAAGATTTTATCATGGTAGAACAGAAACTATGAGATCTTGCACTACTGAGGCTATTAATTGGTGTAAAGCTATGGTAGATCCTTCTGTTGGGGTAAGTTGACGTACAATGGCATGGATTAATCGCAAACTGCAATGTGGAGACCAGAGGTTGTACAAAAAAATCTTAATCAAATCTGTCTAGATTTTAGAAGGATGAAGTAACATAGATGTGTTTAGTAATTGGTTGAGATAGCTTGCAAGGCAAGGTAACATACGACCATTGGCAGCTGTCAGAAATAATAAAACAGGCTTTAGTGACTAAAGTACAAATTTTTTCATATTGAAGAAATTTTATTTGTTTGAATTCAATGATATATATATAAATATATATATATGCCAGTTATTTATGCTGAGTAATTCCACAATTTTTTTAAAAATCAATATCAATAACCCAAATACAACAAATAATAATACAACAGCTCTAATAAAGCTCTAAAAAAATCAAGTCAATTCTAAAACCATTTATCAAAAAATTGTCAAATTCAAACTTGACCAAGATCTCATGAATATAATGATCACACCAAATTTCTTTTAAATCAGTTCAAAACTCTAGTCTCTTTTGTGTGCAAAAAATTTTTCCCAAGTCAAGGGCAATAACTCAAAAACTGTTCATCAAAAATACGTCAAATTAGAACTTGTCCAAGATCTTATCAATTCCAATGATCACACCAAGTTTCATCAAAATCAGTTGAAAACTGTAGCTTCTATTGTGCTCACAAACAAATTTTGAAGCGTTTTTACTAAGTCAAGGGCAATAACTCAAAAACCGTTATTCGAAAATGCGTCAAGGTAGGATTTGTCAGAGATCTTATCAATTCCAGTGATCACGCCAAGTTTCATCAGAATCGGTTGAAAACTGTAGCTTCAATCCTGTGCACAAACTATTTTAACAGATTTCGACGTGTTTTAACAAAGTCAAGGGTAATATCTCAAAAACTGTTTATCGAAAATATGTCAAATTTGAACTTGACCGAGATCTTATCAATCTAAAGCATCACACCAAGTTTTATCAAAATCAGATGAAAACTGTCTTTATAGTGCTGAGAAATGTTGACCAACGGACCGATGGACAGGGGCGACGACAATATAAGACCACATATTCATGTGGGCGTATAAAAGTGTACTTTGGAAGAGTCAGCTAACGAGTAGTTCCATTACATAGTGCAAAGATTACCAAACATCACATTCAGAGAGCTTGTGTTCATTTTTTGCATTTCAGGGTGGTAGAAGATACCAATTGTATAAAATGGCAGCCGATAGACATAATAAGTTGATGGATGAATGCTCAAATTTTGAAGGTAAGATAATGATAATTGAAAAATAAACTACATTATTTTAAAGCCCCAAGAACTGTTCAACTTGTAGGAAATCTCATTGTATTTTCAAACCTTTGGATGATCTATATGGATAGGCAGAGTAAGTTATTTTATTTATCATGTATAATTTCAGGCTGTGATCGTCATTTATTGGGTTTGGCCATGATTTGTCGAGAAGAAAATATTCCTTTACCGCAAATATTTACAGATTCATCCTTCTTTAGAAGGTAATTACTGGTCTTTATTTAGTAGAAATAAGCAAGTGTATTCTTCATTGTTAATGCCTATTGAGATAGATCTGAATGAAAGGGCTGTCCTTGGTCAGTTGCATAATAATACAATATATTTTAATTTGCTATAATAATACAATATATTGTAATTTGCAATAATAATACAATATATTGTAATTTGCTATAATAATACAATATATTTCAATTTGTTATAATAATACAATATATTTTAATTTTCTATGATAATACAATATATTTTGATTTACAATATATTGTAAATTGTTATAATGATACAATATATTTTAATTTGCTATAATAATAGGATGTATTGTAATTTGCTATAATAATATCATATATTGTAATTTGCTATAATCATACAATATATTTTAATTTTCTATAATAATACGATATATATTAATTTGCTATAATAATACAATATATTGTAATTTGCTATAATCATACGATATATTTTAATTTGCTCTGATAATACAATATATTGTAATTTGCTATAATCATACAATATATTTTAATTTTCTATAATAATACGATATATATTAATTTGCTATAATAATACAATATATTGTAATTTGCTATAATAATACAATATATTTTAATTTGCTATAATAATACAATATATTTTAATTTGCTATGATAATACAATATATTTTAACTTGCTATAATCATACAATATATTTTAATTTCCTATAATAATACGATATATTAATTTGCTATAATAATACAATATATTGTAATTTGCTATAATCATACGATATATTGTAATTTGCTATGATAATACGATATATTCTAATTTGCGATAATAATACAATATATTTTAATTTGCTATAATAATACAATATATTTTAATTTGCTATAATAATACAATATATTTTAACTTGCTATAATAATACAATATATTTTAATTTGCTAAAATAATACAATATATTGTAATTTGTTATTATAATACAATATATTTTAATTTGCTATAATAATACAATATATTTTAATTTGTTATTATAATACAATATATTTTAATTTGCTATAATAATACAATATATTTTAATTTGCTATAATAATACAATATATTTTAACTTGCTATAATAATACAATATATTTTAATTTTCTATAATAATACAATATATTTTAATTTGCGATAATAATACAATATATTGTAATTTGTTATTATAATACAATATATTTTAATTTGCTATAATAATACAATATATTTTAATTTGCTATAATAATACAATATATTTTAACTTGCTATAATAATACAATATATTTTAATTTGCTAAAATAATACAATATATTGTAATTTGTTATGATAATACAATATATTTTAATTTGCTATAATAATACAATATGTTTTAATTTGCTATAATAATACAATATATTTTAATTTGCTATAATAATACAATATATTTTAACTTGCTATAATAATACAATATATTTTAATTTTCTATAATAATACAATATATTGTAATTTGCTATAATCATATCATATATTTTAATTTTCTATAATAATACGATAATAGCGAAACTGTGGTATTTATTTGCCAATATCTAAACAAAATCACATTTGGTTCAAATGATAATAATAATGATTGTTTGATATTACAGTGGTGGAGGAGGTAACTTTATTTTATCAACAAGTTCTGTTGGTTATACTCCCGTATATGGTGGAGTAGCTCCAATGTGTTCTAATGGTTACGGTGCTTTTTATAGAATAGAAAATCATCAGTAAGTATTTTTTTGTTTATCATAGATTGATTTGAAAAAAAGCACATCTTATAATTGAAATCAATTAGTCTTTTATATGATGAAAGTCTGCAGCTCAACTGATTTTCCAAGGACAAAAGTAAACATTATTTCTTTTTCTATTACAGAATTGTATTTTTCTTGACATCCTGGACAGAAGATAAAGATACCAGTGTACAACAATTTGCTAAAGATTTACATACAACTTTACAGGAAATGATCAAGTTAATCCAGACACAAGTCACAGAGTCAGCTCGTTTATGAACTGTCATATTCATATAAAATGTCATGAACTTATAATATATAAGCTATTTTTAAACAATCAGTAACAGATCTATTTATCAGTAAAAGTCTGAGTGTTCATGTTTGTAAACAATATAGAAACTCTTTGAGTAACAGGTTGTTTCAGGTTCTGTTTTAATATTTCTATATTGCTAGACAATTAATGTATTGAGCACTTTTCTGAAAGTGAAAATATTTTGTTATGCATAATCATGACAAAAGGAATATTCTACAGATATTTTGATTAATTTTTAATATTTTAAAGCATAACCAAACCATAGTTCATGATGTTTAAATTGGAATATACATGTATGTGTTTTATATATTTTACATTCCATTTTAAAGATGGGTTTCCTTATTTTTTTTAGTGTCAACTTAAGCAGACTATTTGATTAATTGGTAAATTATCATGTATTCTTAATCATATCATTATGTTCTTATTGCATATGATTAAGAGCTTTTTTACCAATCATAAATGTCCATCTTTGTACAGTCTGGATAAGCAAAAAAAGACTTTTTGACCTTTCTTGATCGGTCACTCGTTGGAATTATGTTGGTAATTCTCGTCTAATTTAGATAATTATGAATTATTTATGGACATGTGAGACAAACTGGTATTTTTCCAAGTCATTAGAACACCTCTCCTTTCTTTTGATATAAGTATTAGCATTTTCATTTTCATAAATGAAAATAAGGGAACCCATCTTTAAAGAAAGCACAATTTATCACTTTTATCATCATCATTACTTTTAGGGCTAATTTTTATACAACCACATCTCTCAATGTGGACGTATATTGTCGGCACCCCTGTCCATCCGTCCATAAACATTTGCTTGTAAACGCTCTAAAAACTAGATTTTTTGATGGAATCAAATGAAATTCGGTATGTGTATACATATTCATAAAACGAAGATCAAGTTCGAATTTGAGCTATTTTTCGACCGTTAGAAGCAGAGTTATTGCCCTTGCCCCAAAATCTTGAATATGCTATTACTCTCTTAGTTTTCAACCAATTTTGATGGAACTTAAAATGGATGTTTAGTTTTTACCATCCACATGCAGTGGTGGGCGTATATGGCTGTGGTCCACTATCTTAATATTTTTTAATTATCAGATTTTACTTAACTGCTTCTTGTTTATGCAATATTATCTTTTTCTTAGTGGGTGCAAGTTTTAAAAGTATTATAAATTGTAATTGTTTCATGGATTTCCTCGTTCTTTCAGGGTTTTTTCGATGAATGGATTTTTTCTAATTGTACATAACCAATGCAATTGAGCACAATTTAATTTGTACTTTTAAAATAATAGTAAATAGTGGCTTTCCTTTATAAATGAACTTCTACCTGGAAAAGTTGTGCCTTTCGATTTATTTCCAAATTATGGTTGAACTTTGTATCTCATTTTTTTTTTTACCTGATTACCAATTGACAATTAGTCTATAATCTAAAATCAATGAGACAAGTTGAAAATAGGTTGCGTTGCAAGGTAACATACGCCCACTGGCAGCTGTCAGAAATAATAAAACAGTCTTTAGTGACTAAAGTACGAATTTTCTCATATTGAAGAAATTATTTATGCTGAATAATTCCACAAAATTTTTTAAAATCATATCAATAACCCAAATACAACAAACAATTAAATCACACAGCTCTAATCAAGGGCAAAAAACAACTTTTGACACGTGTTTACAAAGTCAAGGGCAATAACTCAAAAAATGTTCATCAAAAATATCTCTTGTTAAAACTTGTCCGAGATCTTATCAATTCCAATGATCACACCAAGTTTCATCAAAATCTCTATATACGGCTCTGGTGGCGTCAGAGCCGTATATAGAGAGAGTCTGGCCAACTTGTGATCTCGCCGCGCTGAACCATGATTGGCGCAGAGCGGTCACGTGATTGAAGGCCGCCATATTGTTACCCTTCCCGCGACGTTTAGGCGTAGGAGCCTGGGTATTCTTTACGTTGTTTAAGCCTAATTCCTGGTCTTGTCTGGCAACAGAATGCTTCGATGTGTGGCATAGAAATGCTCTGTCAAATCTGGAGAAGGTATAGTGATGCACAGGTTCCCTAAGGATAAAAGGAGACGCAGAGAATGGGAAGTAAAGGTCAAACGATCCGACTGGACTCCCCACGACAACTCTCTTCTATGCGATGTAAGTACATTCGATGATTTCAGGGGTTTTGCAAATCGTGTTATGTTCAGGTCTAAAAACTGGATTTAATAGATATGAAAACTTTGTGAGAGGGTTTCTTTCCACGCACTGGCTATCTAAACCTAGGCCTAGACGAGGAGCATGCACCATGGCTTCTGAGACACTGTCAACAACATTTCTGATAGGCCTACACATAATCGATCGATTTATGTTTTTCTATAAATGTGAA